CACACACACACACACACACACACACACACACACACACACACACACACCATAAAAAGTGACTTCACCCTCACACAGTGATAGTAAGCAGGGTAAAAGTTTGTTATAGATATGCTGGGGACATTATTTATCATAGCACATGACAATATTCAAGGTGTCAACCTACCAGTTTTCTGATGGACGAATCTCGTTTTGCAAGGCCTGTGAGAAATATAGAGTCCCAAATATCTTTTGCTTCTGTCTATAATTTTACAAGTGCTAAATTATACTCTTTCCCTAGTGGCTATGAGGAATTCCCACAGCCTGTATCTAATGTATGTGTATCTCATGAATATAATCCCAGTCTACTGGACATTTTATCTGTAGATTATCAAAAAGTGGCTCCTCCTTAGCTGTATTGTTGAATCAATATTAACACTGTTAGCCCATACAGAATCTTGATAATAAATACAAAAAGATGCTACTCAAGTCAGGGGTTGGAAGTTCCTATTAAGAACTTGAGAGGCAGAGGCAGGTGGATCTCTGTGAGTTTGAAGCCAGACTGGTCTCCAAGAGCTAGTTCCAGGACAGGCTCCAAAGTTACAGGGAAACCCTGTCACAGAAAACAAAAATAAAAACAAAAACAAAAAGAACCGTCAATTGACATAATTTCAAAGTAGCTTTAGATCAGACCAGGTGCCTTACTAATGAGTTTTAAGATAAACTATTCACAGAAAAATAAAATCTTACTTACAAGGACACATAGCCAGCTGTCTGATTTGTTGAGTCAAGGTAAACAATGCAAAGCAACTTAATTGTGACGCCAGGTCTAGCTGATACCCTAGGATGGTGATTAACTTTCTATACAACTTTCCAACCTTGGTTTTACTGGCCTTTGTTCAGATACCATGGGAAAATTTTCTCTAACTGGCCAGGGCTACAAAATACAAACTAACTTCATAGCCCTATGAAAGAGTTACAAGTTTCCCTTTTTTATGGTCAAGGGTTACATGCAGGACAGAAAAATACATTTTAATATTTAAAACACTTTTAATGTCATTGTGCTTTGGAGAGTGCCGCATGAGTGAACCCACCCTCTGCCCTGCAGCTTCTGGGCCGCAGTGGTTCAGCTCCAACAATGCTGCACTCTGACAACACTTTGCTCTTTGCAAACAATCTCCAGTCCGACAAAGTCCAGCCTTTCACAACTGCTAATCACAAACTGTTAGTTTAAAATGTTTATACATTTAGAAGTATAGGATATAGCACGCAATTTCCTTATTTCTTTCAGTCTCCTTAGTAGTTTAGTTTTATAAGGCTACCTCTATAGATAACAAAAAGATTTCTCCTTTTGCAGCTGCAGGTTACCCATTAGGAAGTTGACTGAGTGAAATGCTGCTTCTTTGCTACATGACAATTTATCTGGATTTATTGTACTGTGAGCTGTTGGAACGACTCTGTTTCTTATCATTTACCTAAGAAATAGTATATGACCTCAGATGTAATGCCTAAAAGACTTTGTGGATCTTTATAAGCTGTAAAGAACAAAGAGAGCTGGCAGAATTTAACATGGGAGAATAGAGTGACACCATCAGAAAAGTGTGCTTCCCCCCCTAAAAAACCTTAGGTAGAAATGCTGATTCCGTGGCTTTCTCTCAATACCCTGGGTGTGGTCTAGGAGCTGGCTTTCCATAGTCAGAGTTATAGATATCTCATTATCACATACAGATGTGCTTACCGATACTCAGTCTGAGAAACACAATCATAAAGTTCCTGGGCAGTAAATCTGACATTTTTGCTTACCTGAAAAGAACCAAAATACAATTATTAAGGAGATATGCTAAACTAAACAAGTGATGAAAGCACAATTAAAATGGGGCATATTCTGAGAGCAGGATATCAGATCTTCAGTCACCACCTAAATGAAAACTAAGACAGGAATAGGAAGAAGTTTGGTGACTAAAATGTTAACACTGAAGTATGTGTAAACGTTAGTCCTATTATTACAACTCAACCTAGTCCCAGAACTAGAAATAGTAGAAACAAGATGAATCTAAATTAACAGGAATCTTTAAAAAGCACATTACTTTGGCATTCAATTGTACAGAAAAAATACTATAAGCTGTGTGGAAAGGTCTGATTTAGGAAAAGGTTTGACCCATGTAATTCTGTCCCTCCCTCTTCTTCCTTCCTTCCTTCCTTCATTTCATTCATACATTCCTTTTCTTCCTCTCTCCCCACTTCCTTATGGCTCTAGGAATCAAACTCAGAGTTTTATACAAGCTAAGCAAATACCGACTCTAGAGCTATACTCTAGCCCATAGACATTTCCTAAAAACCTGTATTTTAAAGTGTTACCCAAAGACATAATTTATAAAACCACAAATAAGAGTCCATCATTCAAACTGTTGTACACCTGAAACACAAAATGAAGGAATCTTGTTTTTTTTTAATTTTCCTTTATCATTAGTGTGTGGACAACTATCAGGGTAAGAGGATAATCTTGAGAGCTAGCTCTCTCCTTTTGATGTGGTTCCAGGAACGGAATTACAGCACCAGGCTTCACAGCAAGTTGTCCTGGAATCTTTATTTCTTGAAACTCCCTGCTTTTGATGCAGACAATGTTGGATTTTTTTTGAAGATTTTTTTTTTAATTAATGATGTGTACAGTGTTCTGTCTGTATGTATCCCTGCCCGCCAGAAGAGGACACCAGATCTCATTACAGATGGTTGTGAGCTACCATGTGGATGCTGGGAATTGAACTCAGACCTCTGGAAGAACAGTCAGTGCTCTTAACCTCTGAGCCATCTCTCCAGCCTGACAATGTTGTATTTATGTACAAGAAAGAACCTTGAACTTTTTATCAGGAAATTTTGTGTAAGTATCTTTTTGGTTTTGGTGCTAGAGACTGAACCCAGGGCCTTACTAGCCAAGTACATCCAATGAGATACACACCTGCCCACAGAATTTCATTTTTAAAGGTGTACCTAAGTTGTTCTTAATTCATAATCCTCCATCTTCTTCAGCAAACTGCCCACTAGCAGGTGTCACTTCAGTGGGTGGTAAATTCAATAAATAATACAGTACTATTTAAACTTTCAGAAATCTGGAACTAGTGGAGAGAAACTCAGTAAAACTATCTTCTATTCAATTACTTTCAAAACTATATAAAGAGCTTCAGATGCAGCTCACTGTACAATATCCAGCATTGTAAAAGAAGCTTGAGTTTTACTAGCTAGTCCATATTTTCACTGAGGAAAAATATCCCTATCCTGATTCATATTACTTTAAAGGTTCTTATATCATACAAATGATCAATAAAGATCAGGGTATTACTTATTTTAAAAGTTCTGTAACTTTCTTCAATGTTTTCTTATGACATTACTCATACTTATGAGGAAATATTCATTTACTCTAAGTTAAATTCTATAAAATTTTTAAATACAATTATTTTAGAGCTGGGGGGTGTAGCTTACTGGTCGAATACTCACCTACCATGCATAAGGCCTGGGGTTTGATCTCAAATACTGTCAAAATACATGAGAGGGATATAGGTATCTTTAGTTTATAAATATATATACTTTTTAAAAGTTAATATAATACTAGTATTTTTTCTAAAATGAGGATCATATGTCTATATATTAAATTTCTAGTAATACATATATTTAATATTATACTTAATGACTGATGAAATTGGTATATAGTTTATTATAATTTTATGTGATTTATAATTCTTTAATTTTTTTGCATGTGTATCTATGTGTGTGTGTGTGTATGTGTGCGCGCGCGCGCGCGCACACAAGTGGATACATATGTGTGAAGGTTAGAGGTTAACATTAATTATCTTCCTCAATGGCTCTTCCGTTTATATATTAAGGAAGCATCTCTCACTTGAACCCAGATGGCCAACTTGCTCCCAGGATCCCATCACTGACTCACATGTTGGAATTACAAACATGCTACCATGCCTACCTGGTCTTGATATGGGTCCAGTCCTCAAGTTTGCATAGCAAGTGCTTTACCCACTGACTCATTTTCCCAGTTTTTGTATTTAAGATTTACTTACTTTAAATCATGTATACAAATGTTCTGCCTGTACACAAGAACGTGCATCATGTACATGCTTGGTGCCCTCAGGAGGCCAAAAGAAGGGACTGGATTCCCTAGAGTCAGCTATGAGGTCCAAATCTTGGTCCTCTATAAAAGTAACTCTGGCTCTTAACTACTAAGTCCTCTTCCTCTCTCTCTCTCTCTTTCTCTCTCTCTCTCTCTCTCTCTCTCTCCAGTCCATTAGGTTTTAGATTTGGGGGTTTTGTTGGTTTATTTGTTTTGGTTTTGATCTATATGTCTGTTTTGAGATACTCACCATGTAGCCTTGGCTGTCATGGAACTTGCTACATAGACCAGGCTCTTCTTAAACTTGGAGATCCTCCTGACTCTGCCTTCTAGGAGCTGGAATTCCAGGCATGAGCTACTATACCCAGCCCTATAATTTTTGTTTTAAAAATCATTTAAATTTTTTTTAAACATACATTTGGAATTAAACCATCATGAGTCTAGTTTTTCCTTTTGTGCATGTTTTGTCCTTGCCCCACATGCTAGGACCAACAAGGTATAAATCCGGACAGCCTGTCAACAGGCTACAGATGTTTGATCATAAGAGAAAGAGAATGGTCTGTTTGGTTAGTGGTTGGGAGAGAAAAAAAAATAACTGAACAACTGATTCTGAACATGATATAATAAGAACACGCAATAATTCTTAAGTTTCTAAAAGATCTTATTTTAAAAAGTACCTAGAACTACCTTTTAATTTTAAAATCAACCATTCCCATATACTGAGAGATTCAATATAAATAAAGGCAACATGACTCCACATTAAGTTAAACAACTTATAAAGCACATAGTTAGCTTACTAATGAAAATTAAAGCACAAGTTCATAAAATCTATACTCATTAATTTCAACTATTACGACATTTTTCCTTTACTCATTTGTAGACATTTTAAATTACTCTGTTACACCTCTATTTATGAATACATTATATATATATATGTATGTATGTGTGTGTTATGTATGTATCTTTGTCTGAGTGTGGCAGTCTTATGTAATACATAATACAGAGCAGACTCAAACTCACTATGTAGCTGAGGATGACCTTGAACTCTTGATCCTCCTGATCCTCCCAAATGCTGCACTATGTTACCACATGAGGCTGTAAATGCACAATTTTAAATTCCAAAGAACAAATAACTAAATGGTGTCTTGCCCAGCTTTTTACTAGGTTGTTAATGGACAATATGCCACACATAAAGTTACATGAAGAACTAACCAGGCATGAAAGTAAAGGAATATATTCAAATAAGTTTGACTCCCTATAATGTGAAGCCCCAGCATGTGCTGCTCCTTCACTGAGATCATTTATAAATATAACACATAAGCTAAGAGTGGTGTACATGCCAATAACCCGAGTACTCAAGAAGGTGAGGTAAAATGACCAGGGTTTAAGAACAGTCTGAACTACATAGTAAGTTTCAGGCTGGCCCAAACTTTAGCACAAGACCCTGTCTCAAAACCCAACAGGGCCTGGAGAGATGACTCAATTCCCAGCATCCACACGACTGCTCACAACTGCCTGTAACTCCAGTTCCAGGGAATCTGACACTCTCACACATACACATAAGCAAACACCAATGCACACAATAAAATAAATTTAAGAAAACAAACAAATAAATGCACAACAAAAGACACCATATACACATAAAACTGAGACAGGATATACAAAGAATAGCAGCAGAGAGCTTTTAACAAACAGGAATTAGGGCTGGAGAGATGGCTCAGCAGTTAAAAGCACTGGCTGCTGGTTCAAAGGTTCTAAGTTCAATTCCCAGCAACCACATGGTGGCTCACAACCATCTATAATGTGATCTGATGTCCTCTTCTGGCCTACAGGTATACATGCAGGCAGAAAAAACACTGTATACATAATAAATAAATCTTAAAAAACAAAAAAAAAACCCAGAAGTTAGAAATCAATAGAGCACTGTCCTTGGATCAAAAATGATGAGGAAAACATGGAGGTCAATGTAGAAGACACACTGCAACCTCATTTCAGTTCTTAGTCGAGGGTCTATGCTGCTCCATGCACTTAGTACCTAAGGAGCTAGGATATAGAACATCTTGCATTCATCCCACAATGAAGCAATGACCTGCCCAAGATGTTAAGTTCCCTAATGAGAAAGAATTCTGTGCTGAAACAAATATATTTCAGGACTCTATTGTAATTTCACTTAGGGAAAAAGATAAAAATTGGTTATGTTATTGTTAAGGAATAGATTGGAGAGGAAGATACAGATGAACAAATGCAGCAAGCTACTACACAACATGAAGACCATAGTTAATAACATCGTTAAATTTAGGATTGTTTTGCTAAAAAGGTAGATTTTAATTTTATTGCCAATTAAAGGGCATATTATATAAGATGGTGGTTGTGTTTATTAACTTGAATGTAATAGCTACTTGTTTTTTTCAAGATAAAAACTTTTAGAGTGTGCGTACGTGCATTTGTGCACACAAACACCCACAAGGCCAGAAAAGGGCACTGGATCCCCTGGAACTGGAGAATAACAGACAGTTGTGAACCGCCTGTCCTGTAAGCAATATATGTTGTTAAAAGCTGAGCCCCACCTCCATCCCCTTTTGCTTGTTTTTTGTTTGGGGTTTTTTTTTTTTTTTTGAGACAAGATTTCTCATAGTCCAGGCTAACCGGGTACTTACTACGTAGTCTATAGTGGTCTCTAAATCACAACAATTTTCCTACCTTAGCCTCCTGAGTCCTGAGATTACAGGCATGAATTATAATGTCCAACAAAACATTATCTTGTATATCTTAAATATATACATTTTTTAAACAGGTAGAGAAACAAATGTCACTGGAAAATTTTTATGACACTCTCAAGTTTTAATTCTGACCAGTCTGTATAAAACAGGAAGATCCTGCATCAAAAAAAAAATCATTTAAAGAAAATACCAATAGCAATCTTATTGTACTTATATTCAAACAATATAAATATTATGTGAATAATATATATTTTTTCTTACCTCATACTTGACTAGGAAGTTATAGAGAGTCTCAACATCTTGGAAATTACTATTAGGAGCTAAAATTCTAAAAAGAAAAAGAGATACATTAACAAAAGAACTTTGGAAATTAATTTTTAAAAACCTTTTATTTTCTCCTTCAAACTTACCCATATCTATGATCATTAAGTTTATTCAAACCATTAACTTAATTCAACTGAGATTAATTCATTAAAATATTTCAGCTACTTTAATATCTATACATTAATTATCACAAACATTCTTCTTTTAGTCTGCTGAGACAGTCTCATATAGGCCAGACTGTCCTCAAACTGGAAATATAGCCAAGGCTGGCCCTGAAAACCTAATTGCCCTGCCTCCACCTCTCAAGTACTGAGATTATAGACCTGTGCCACTGGACCTACCTGCCATAAACATCCTTACACATGAAATTATAATTCACATATTACATTATAATAACGCATAGTTCTCAAAAAGTAGACAGAAATGTAAATTTACACTCCCTATCTTTTAAACTGCAGATTTCTTTCTATAATGTTTAGCCAGTTCAAAGAGACAACAAATAAAACTAACAGACACATAAAAAAGACTGTAGTCAAATTCAAATAGCACCGAGCTATCTATCAGCACAGTACTCTATGAAAACCAGTAATTAATTAGAACTGATGGAAGTAACACAGAACAAATTATAGAAATCTTGCATAAAAAAAGAGGGCAATTATTTTCCACCCTCTAATAGTTAGGTATTATTTTTGTATACCAGACTTGTTTGTTTGTTTAATGGCTATGGGTCTTTTGTCTGCATGTATGTCTGTGCTTTGAATGTCTGCCTAGGGTCAATGAGGCCAAAAGAGGATACTAGATCCCCTAGGACTGGAATTACAGACAGTTGTGATCCTCCGTGTGAGTGCTGGGAACTGAACCAGCACTTCTGGAAGAAGAGTACTGTTCCATAACCACTGAGCCACTGCTCCAGACCCTTACATGATTTTAATGTTTATAACATCAGTATGTAGAAAATTAACATGGAAGGTTATCTCCCATTTAAGACCAGTATTGGCTTCACAGTGAGTTCCAGATACCCTTGGCTATTGACCCTTGCCTCAAACAAATACATAAATACAATACCTTTATCATAGGTCTGGAAAAGCTTTTTGAGACAGGGTTTCATGTTATAGAATATTAAAGATATGTCACATTTGTTTCTGCTGTGGAATATTTGTTTTGCATTGTATTGTATTCTTTTATGTTGCATTTGTTTAACACTGTGAAGCTGTGTTACTTTGTCTGAACATTAGCTTGGTCTAATAAACAGTTGAAGGACCAATAGTGAGGCAGGAGAAAGAATAGGTGGGGCTGTCAGGCAGAGAGAATTAATAGGAGGAAAAATCTGGGAAGAGGAGATAAGGGAGTAAGAGAAGGAGGAGAGGGTACTGGGGACCAGCCGGCCAGCCACCCAGTCAGACACATAGTAAGAAGGAAAGAAAAGATATATAGAAATAGAGAAAGGTAAAAGCCCACAGGGCAAAAGACAGACAGGATAGTGTAAGTTTAGAAAAGCTGGATGGAAACAAGCTAAGATAAGGCCGGACAATTATAGGTAAGAAAAAGCCTCTCTGTGTGATTATTTGGGAGCTGGGTGGTGGGGGCCCCCAAAGAAAAAAGAGTCAAAGAGTTAAAAAACAAACAAACAAACAAAAAACCACAACTACAGTTTCGTGTAGCTCAGGCTGGCTTGAACTATGTAACTGAGGTTATCCTTTAATTTCTCATTCCTATATCACCATACCTGGCTCAAATTAAGAATATCCTTAATATTAAGTCACTTTAACTCTTAAATTCCAAAGGGCTTTTAACCACAATAATATCCCTAGGCCCTTGTCTTTGCCAATCATAATACCACAGCAAAGTGAAGTGATCTCAAATTTTTAGCTGTATCTTTGTAGATTATTTGTTTTTATTATACTTATGAAAGCTTCTAAAAATATTTCATAGGACATAGTCAAAATCTGAAATGTACTCTGCTGTCTTTTTTTTTTAAAGATTCATTATTTATTATGTATATAGGCTCTGCCTACATGCCAGAAGAGGGCACCACATCAAATTACAGATGGTTGTGAGTCAGCATGTGGTTGCTGGAAATTGAACTCAGGACCTCTGGAAGAGCAGTCAGTGCTCTTAACCTCTGAGTCATCTCTCCAGCCCTACTCTACTGTCTTAAAAAGGGGACATCCCATTATATCTTTTTTAAAAAATGATTTATTTATTATGTATACAACATTCTGCCTCTATGTATGCCCGCACACCAGAGGAGGGCGCCAGATCTCATTACAGATGGTTGTGAGCTACCATGTGGTTGCTGGGAATTGAACTCAGGACCTCTGGAAAAGTAGCCAGTGCTCTTAGCCACTGAGCCATCTCTCCAGCCCCCATTATATCTTTAAAATGTCCAAAAATTTTAATAATTCCAGTTTAATGGGAAAAAGTTTTCTCCTAGCAAGTAATTTTAAAATACAACCTCATGTCAGGCCATGGGGGCACATAACTTTAATCCCAGAACTTGGGAGGCAGCGGCAGGCAGATCTCTGAGTTCAAGGCCAGCCTGGTCCACAGAGTGAGTTCCAAGACAGCCACGACTACATAGAGAAACACTGTCTTGAAAAACCAAAAAATAACATAAAATAAGATAAAATAAAATACAACCTCCTAACCAAAGAGATAAACCATAAATCTCTCCCTCTCCCTCTCTCTCTCACATACACAATGCATATATATGTGTATACACACACATCAGAAAGGGAAAGGATCCATAAGCAATTTGCTATATATAAAAAGACAAATGTAGTATCACTATGTATAGTCACGCTATGTGCCTATTATACAAGAGCTTTCTCAATCTAAATACAACTAAACAAAACAAGAGAAACAAAAAGTCATCTAAACTTAAGCCTCGGGCTGGGAAAATGGTTCAGCGGGTAAAGTGCTTACTGCACAAGCAAATACCAGGATTTTAGTTCAGACATGTCTAAAGCCAGACATGACTGCACATCTGTCACCCCAGTGCTAGAGCAGAAACAGAAGATTCTGGGGCTCACTGGCCAGTCAGTCTAGTCAAAATGGTAATCTCCAGGTTCAGTGAAAGACCCTGTCTCAAAAAATAAGATGAAGAAAGACTTGAGGAAAGTACCTCAACATAAATCACACACACAAACACACACAGTACAAAAAGAGAGAGAGAGAGTATGTGCTTCAAAATGTACCAAGTTTTCTCATGAAAGACTAACTCGTTTCTCCCACTTTCCTCTCCTACAAAGGATACAGAATATAGGAAACTAAGAAAGGTAAAATTAAAAGCCAATCATCTGCTAGGTGTAATGGTACACACCTTCAATCCCAGGACTCAAGAAGCAGAGGCAGGCAGATTTTTGTGAGTTTGCAGCCAGCTTGGTCCAGACCTGACCATTCAAGCCTGTTTAGTGAGACCCTGTCTCAAAAGCAGCCAATAGTTTCTAACTTGCTAGACAACTCCTAGCCAGTCTAAATTAAGCTAATAAGTGTGGAATTTATAAACTTTAGATTTAATACAATGCTTACCTTTTAATTCCTTCAAGAATATCCTTCACAGCTGCCATTAACTTTTGAAGATATATAAATGCTTCTTCAAATGATGCTATTTTTGAAGTGGTCAGAGTTGAACTTGAGTCCAGTGTCTGAAACACATCTGTGCTAAAAAAAAAAAAAATGGAAAGAAAAAAGTATGTGCTCATTTAGTACTTATAAGTGCTTTCACTGATGACACATAGAAAATAATGAGTAATCTTTTGCAATGCTCATCTATTTAAGTAAAAGATCAAAGACAGTGAGTGACATGAGAGAAGTCTGGGCTAACATCCACACAAGGGATCTTGGTCACACACCACACAGACCTAATTTAAAGGGAACATGAAAGCTGGGTGAATAAACTTCACTCTAAAAGAGCACAGAGATGAAAGAGAAGTAATACTACTAATAGACATACAAGTCAGTACTCCAGAACATAAACATGAAGAATTAGGTATCAGATTAAATTAAAAAACTGGATGTTTATCCTTGTAATTCCACTTCCAGAAACTTATTGTGAATTAAGAATTACAAAAAATAATTAGTGACACCTTTAATATTTACTTAATAAAATACTAAAATGTTTATGCTATATATATTGGTCAAAACTAAAAATAAGATGAGGTATTGTAATAATCCTAGCAGTTGGAAAGCAGAAGCAGACAGATCTAAGTTTAAAGCTAACCTGGTCTACACAGTGAGTTCCAGGCCAGCCAGGGCTACATAGTGAGACCCTGTCTCTAAATACATAAATAAATATTTACTTAGGTAACAGCAACTATATTAAAAAATCAAAACACATTGTATTGTATCTGAATGGTGTCCTCCCCAAATTCACATTCATCTAGAGCAATGCTATGAGTCATGACCCCTTTGAGGTCAAATGACCCTTTCACAGGGTCACCTAAGACCATCTGCAATATCAAATATCTATGTTATGATTCATAACAGTAGCTAAATACAACTATGAAGTAGTGATGGAAATAATTTCATGGTTAAGAGGTCACCTCAACATGAGAAACTGTTATTAAAAGGCTGCAGCATTAGGAGGGTGGAGAACCACTGTGTTAGAGCTTCAGTATGGACCTCACTTGAAACAGGTCTTTGGCAAATGTAAATGGTTCAGCTAAATGAGGACTGGATTAGAGTAGGCCACACTCTCTCCATGAAGACAAAAAGCAGAGACTGGAGTGATGCTCTTACTAGGCAAGGACTGAGGAAGACATAAAAACAGAGCAGATTCTTATTTAAGAGTTTCCGCCAGTCTTTTGTTTTCCACTTAAAGGCCTTTGTGGTGGTACACACCTTTAATCCCAAGGCTTGGGAGGCAGAGGCAGACAAACCTCTGTAAATTCAAGGTATGGTGGCAGACACCTTTAATCCCAGCACTGGGGAGACAGACACAGACAGATCTCTATGAGTTCAAGGACAGCCTGGTCTATAGGGGGAGTTCCAGGACAAAGATATGCAGAAAACCTGTCTCAAAAAGCCAAAAGTTAAAAGTAGAAATAAAAGAAATAGAGGTTAAAATAAAGCCACAAAAAGATGGAAAATACACAGAGAATTTTGATAGTGTATTTATTATGCTCTCTTTGAATTGTTTAAATGCTGAGGAAGGAGCAACAGCTGCTAAAAGATATTTGCTTATAAATGCTGCAGAATTAAGCCAAGATAGGTATTCTGTAAATACCTTGGCTTCAAAACTGAAGTCAAAAGTATGTTACTTTGAAGAAGAGATTTTGCTTTTGTTTCCACAGAAAACGAGAGGCTCTGGATTTATTCAGAGTTAAGAAAAATCATCTTTGATCAAGGAAGACCACCTGAGAAATCTCCGGTAGGAACAGATGGCCCAATATCAGAGTTCTGCATCCAGAACAGGTTCAAGACTGCTGCCTGAGATGATCAAGACTTACAGGATACTTAAGTCAGGACTTGATTATAACTCGAAATTTTCTTTAGGTCCCCATAAGATTATCAGCGCCCCCAACCAGCTGGAAGTAGCCTGGACTACTACGCCCACATTCCCCCAAAAATGGACTATGGATATTTTCCTTTTTTTTTTTTAAAAGAGGGGGAAGTGGTGTGAGACAGTTGTCTGTATTCTGTCAATCATGTTTTAAATAAACGTTGATTGGCCAGGCAGGAGGTGTAGGCGGGAAACCCAGACAGGAAGTGGAAATGATACAAGGAGAACAGGAGAATTCTGGGAAAGAGGAAGTTGATTCCTCCCACTCCTGCCCAGATCACTGAAGCAGCAGGATGTGATCTGCCCCACTGAAAAAGGTACTGAGTCACATGGCTAACATAGATCAGAAAAATGAGTTAATCAAGATGTGAGAGTTAGTCAGCAAGAGGCTAGACCTAATGGGCTAATCAGCTTTATAACTTATGGAAATCTATGTGTGATTTTCTTTGGGACTAAACAGCTGTGGGAACCAGGCAGAACATAAAACACAAACAAATAGGACTCTTCATGTTACAGGCCTTCTTAACAACAACTAAATAAATCTCTACTACTTTAAGATATACAGTTTGTGGTGAATCATTACAGTTTCCAAACAGAAACATTTTAAACCAGGCTTATGTATGAAAGCTGCAATCTACTTTCAGATTCAACATTATGAAATAAGCTATTCAACTGGTTAATCAGTTTATAGAAAATTATGAACTATCAAACTCATTTTTTATTAGTTTTGCCTATATATTTTAATAACGTCACTGAGAATAGTAATAACAAAGGTAAAAGGAATCGTAACTATAAATCTTTCTGCAAAACAAAAATGCACATTTAAATAAGTACCTCAAAAACTTGAATGACAAACTGCAGGAAACCTTTTTATTTTTTAGACAGGATCTTATGTAGCCCAGGCTGGCCTCCAAGTCACAGCCTTTCTGTCTCACCCTCCTGAACTGTAGGATTACTGTGTCACCATGCCCAAATAAAAGATTATTGTTCTACATGAATCAGCAATACAAAACACTCATCCAATTTCCTCGTAAATAGACAATAAAAACCTAACCTGATATGATGCAAGTTCAACACTGATTAGTAAGGCACAAAAATGATGGCATTTATAGTTGTATTTAAGAACTTGTCTGTTCCTTTTCCTATTGCTGTAATAAAACACTGACAAAACCAACTGAAGAGAAAGGTTTCCTTCAGTTCACAGTGGGGTCTGAACGGAGTCATAGGAGCTTGAGAAACTGGTCACGTTGCATTGACAGTAAAGAGGCAGAGAGCAAGAGATAAACCCACACTGCTGCTCACTCCCTCTACTTCAGACATCCAGGACCCAGGCAGAGAATGGTGCTGCCCACAGTTGGTGGGTCTTTCTACTTTAATTAAGCAATCAAGATAGCCTTCAACAGGCACAACCAAAGGCCCATCTCCCAGATGTTTCTAGATTCTGTGAAATTGATAACACTAACTGGAGTGTATTTTAGTAACTTATATGAGTAATTAAGAATAGACCTCCAAATGAGCATTTATTTGCGAAAGGATTATATTTAATAAATTCTATTGCAATTCTGGTATACAATCAGGTTTGTTTAAAAAAAAACTAGGCTAAATAAATATGTTTTGTTAAAGCAATATTAACATTGTCACTTACTGAAATGTTAGTATATACAGTCTGTTATTCAGAAATAGCATGGAGCACTCTAACATGCGGTACAAATGCATGAATATTATAGATCAACTCCCATGTTTTCATATATCTTTTTTTTGGTTTTTCGAGACAGGGTTTCTCTGTAGCTTTGGAACCTGTCCTGGAGCTAGCTCTTGTAGACCAGGCTGGCCTCAAACTCATAGCGATCCGTCTGCCTCTGCCCTCCAAATGCAGGGATTAAAGTCATGCCCAACTCAAATGTCTTTTAAAGCAGCCATTCCTGCCTCCTATAAAAGGTAATTTTATGTAAACAAGAACATTTGATTAGCTAAAGCACCAAAAATATGTTGAGTAGAAAAACAAACTGACTCATAAAAAAAATTATAAATTTCTAAGTAATATAGTTTTAATTCATATGCCAATTGTAGCTATCTTTTACATATGATGGGTTAGAAAGCAAAATATCAGGCCATAAATTTGTTGAAAAATGTTTAATTATAGCCAAGGAATAAAAAAGGAGCCCAAGAACAAAGCAGACAAATGGGAGGGTAGAAAAAAGGGGAGATAGGTGAGAATGAGGCACAGGGAATATGCAATATAATATACTTGTGGCAGTGTGGCACACGCCTTTAATCCTAGCACTTGGGAGCAGAGGCAGGAGGATCTCTGTGAGTTCGAGGGCATCATGGTTTACAGAGAGTTCCAGGTCAGTCAGGGTTACACAGAGAAACCCTGTCTCAAAACCCAATAAAATAAAATCAGAGGTTTTAAGTTATATAAGCTATCCTAACAGCACCTATCTGCAAAACTATTCAAGGGGAATGCAGCCCAGGTTCAGAACACCTGTCTAAAACACAAGTGGTCCCAAACACTGGGGGGAAAAATGAGGCAGCAAAATGGCTTTAACAAGTAAATCTGTTTGTTGTTAACCTTGATGCCCTGGGCTTGATTCCTGGAACTCACATAGCAGAGGGAAAGAACCCATTTCTGCAAGTTTATCCTCTAAGCTCCACACTATGACACTACTACACACACATATACACAAATATAAAATAAAAATTTTATATTTTTAAATGATCTCTGTACCTCATTTCATTAATTCTGAAGTGTTTTATGTTTATATACTAAAGTAATAGTATTTTCCTTTTAAACAACAGTATTTATACACCTTTAAATTCTTAAACGAATTTTCTTTAATCGAAGGAACTTTTCTCAAGTAAGGAACTTTTCTCAAGTTATTTCCAGTTTAATTACAGATTTGCAATCTGCTAAACTGCTGAATCAATCTAAGTGCCTCACTGGTTGTGACCTATGCAAGCAATGTTCCTTATCATGATTACATTAGAATCACCTAGAGAGGTTTTTTTTTTGTAACTTATTAATTTTTATTTTGTGTGCCTCGGTGTTTTGCCTGCATGTATGTCTGTGTGAAGGTGTCAGATCTTAGAGTTACAAATAGTTGTGAGCTGCTATGTGGGTGCTGGGAATTGAACCCAGGTCCTTTGGAAGAGCAGTCAGTGCTTTTAACCACTGAGCTATCTCTTCAGCCCCAAGAGACTTTTTTAAATGCATTCTCAGACTCAACTCTTCCCCTACTGAATCCAAATTTCTAGGAATAGTGTGTAAATATAGAAACTTAAAAATTTCCCGGGTAATCCTGATGTTTACCCTGATTTAAACATAAATATTTCTAATGCACCAATTGGACCAAAGGCCCATAGCACAATAAAATCAGAGCCCAAACACTAACTACACTAGAAATTGTAATGGAAACCCTACAAAAGCAAACTTGTAATAATAAAGTGGAGGATGTCTTGGGAATTTAGTACCTGTTCTGATATATTGAAGTCCAAACATTCTCCAGGATAGACCATATTTCTTGATGCCTGGTGAACTGGGGAAGAGGAGAATCCGAGAAAACAGTAACATCTTGGTTATGAAGCTTCACCAAAGAAGTGTCTTTCTGCTTTTTACCCATTGTGCTTTCTGAAGAATCTGGCTTCAGTTTTGTCTTGACCTGTGACATAAGAATTACATAAAATGCATACCAGTCCTTCACTAGCAACTGAGAAAACAGAGACACTAGCTTACTAGAAATTCTGGTTACTCTTTCTTTCATATGTACAGAATATTCCTAGAAAAGCACTAGACTTAGAAAAAGTATTTTTCTTTCCTGTTTAAATCAAATAATATATCAGTTTATTTACTATAGTGATCTTTCTTACCTAACATTCGAATGTCAATATATTGTTATGGAAAGACAAAGCGCAAACTAGGATGATTAAATGGGGAGGGGATAGAAGGGTAAATAAGGAAATCTGGAAAGGGAATATTAAAGGACATTTGAAAAAACATTTAGAAATCTACTACTGTATAAGTGTCTTAAAATGTATACATGAGTCACTGAATAATGGGGGACACAATACCTCAACTAGACATATTATGCCACCAAGTAAAACCTCCAATGCCAGAAATGGATTACATCTTGTTGAACTGTTGGTCGAAGCAGCCCCATGGAAATCCCCAAACATCACAGATGACTGCCAAGGCTATTGATTACTCTGCAATCTGATGGTGAGGTAAGACCATATTGCTGAAGACATCACTTACACATGCCATGTAACATAAAGAAGTTGAGCTGATGCCTAACTACAGCCTTCACTACAACTGACTGTTCATGGTACTGGAAGTTACACTATAGTCTATCCGAGGAGACTACGTCCAAGCAACAAACCCCGTGGCCTACAAGATTAACTGACCTACAAGATATACTGGTGCAACAGTATCACAAATGTTATAGGAATATCCAACCACTTCTGATTGGAATTAAGGCCACTCCATAAGATGGAATCTATACCTGATGCTACTAAAGTGGTCAAGAACCTGAGTCTAGATAGACCGTGTGCCTAGGGAAAACCTAATACTATTATTTACAAAAGGAACATAGCGATAAAATGATGTCTAATGACATATTGCTATACACATAGTTCAGTGTCTTGCTCAACCTTCATCAGAGAAGCTTCTTCTTGAAGCAGATGGGGCCTAACAAAGAGACCCACAACTGGACAATGTGCAGAGATTGAGAGACGTTGGAGCACTCAGTCCTAAATGGGATGTCATCAAGGGTCAGGTGTCTAGTGGAAGAAGAGATGGAAAGACTGTAGGAGCCAGAGGACTCCAAGGAAACAATGTCTTCCAGACACAACAGTACTGAAGCACAAATGAATTCAGAGACTGTGGCAACACACACATGGCCTGCACATGTTCAAACCACATGGGGTCCCAGAACTGAGAGGGCCAAATGGACATAGGCTCTCATGCTTGACCAAAAAGTTATTTGAAAATTGATACCTGCTTGCAAAGGCAAAATTAGTTTTCTCCAATGGAGTCACACTGGGTTTATTAGCCATACTTTAAGGCTGACCCCATGCCCAGGAGTAGCTGGCCAACATAAAACAAAAAACACTATTTCTCTAGGGTTAAGTTTCCACATTAATAAAAGAATGATTTCCAAAGTTAGCTTAATGTCGTACTATTTCTATGCTTTAAAATGTTGTGGTTTTTTTGTTTGTTTCTTTTCTTTTTTTTTGGGGGGGGGGGGTTTCAAGACAAGGTATTTTTAGAGCCTGTCCTGGAACTAGCTCTTGTAGACCAGGCTGGCCTCGAATTCACAGTGATCCGCCTGCCTCTGCAAATGTTTTAAATAAAATTATAATACTGTAAAAAAAGATGTTACTATTTACGTAAACACGCTGTGTACTGGAGCCCTCGGGGTTTTATATTAACTTACTCAGTCCTCGTGACTACACAGTACTATGACACAGAACTGAAACCCTATGAAACAGAAACAATTCAGACTTTTAAGTGAAGGAAAGAGAAATACAAAGATTAAAAACATCATGCAAGATAATTCAAATGGTAAGAAGCAAAAGAGATTTGACTCTCAGCAATCTAGAAAGTTATGATCCTACACCAAATGCAGAGGTGTTACCATGCTCTACTTTGTGGGGCAAAAAGCAAAAAGAGATGATCTTCTCATTTTCCCTGTTTGTATTAAATTATGAACTTACTATATATAAATAATGGCCCTATATATTTTTTCCTGAAATTAATTTTTGTGGCAATACTGGGCTGGACCTCAGGGCTTTGCTCATTTTTAGTAAGTTCTCCCACTGACCTATATCTCCACCCAGATAACTGCTTTAAAATCCATAAACGTTTAAAACTGAGTATTTGCCTATTTCTCCTTTGCTCTGGCTCTTAAATCTGAGTATACACAATCACGCAAGTAAATTTTTTTTTAAAAAAATAAACACTTATATATCACTTACTATCTGCCAGGCACTAATTTCTTCAGTAACGGTTCATTCTTATGGCAATTCTAAGTCAAGAATTATTACTGTACTCATAATACAAAAAAAGGGGGGTAAAGATTCAAAGAATTTAAAGAACTAGAGGCAAAAAAAAACTGAAACAACAACAAAAAATCCACAGGTCAGAATCCTGAGCATGTAAAACCTAAAACTAATCAACAAAATTGATTTGAATTATTTTAGCATAGTGGTTGATCAAAATTTTGGGGTGTCTGGGAAGCTAACAAAACAAGGATGTCTCTTCCTACTTCAACCCCTCTTACACACATAGCTGAAAATGGTGCTAGTTAACTGTTTCATCCTAGTTTCTCAGAAGCTTTCCAGAAGCAAGTAGAAGATGAGTAATTCTTTTCTTGGTTTTCAATACTTGATAATTAAGATTAGGTGTACTTCTCAAGTTATTATTATTAAGAAACCTTACTTTGGAAATAATATATTTATTGTTCAGGTTAGAAACATAGATATTTAAGACATGGATCAAATCTAATGAATTATCAAACAACGACCAGCAAAATATATTCTAGGGTTCAGGATGTCTTAGTTGATGGAGTGCTTTGCCTAATATGCATGACACTCTTGATTAGATCCCCAAGCCTTACATAAACACAGTATTATAGTACACATTTATAGTCCCAGTACTCAGGAGATAAAGGCAAGAGTATCAAAAAATTAAGGTTATCCTTGGCTACATTGCAAATCTGAGGCTATCCTGGGCTACATGAGACCCTGTCTCAAAAAAAAAATCTCAAAATTTACTTTGTTATTTTTTTAAAATTATGTGCATGAGTGTTTTGTCTGCATTCATGTATGTGTACTGTGTGCATGCCTGGTGCCAGAAGAGGTCAGAAGATGGTGTCAGAACCCTTGAAAGTAGAGTTAAGGATAGGTGTAAACCACCATGTAAATGCAGAGAACTGAACCTGGATATTCTCCAAGAGCATTAAGGACTCTTAACTGCTAAGAGTCTCTCTAGCCCCTCTTTTTTGTGTGTGCACAGCTTTCTCTTGTCCATAAATGAAATAATATAAAATTCAACAACAAAAAAATAAAATCCCAAGTTTATAGTGGTATATACCCATAATGTCAATACTACAGAGTACTAAAAAAAAAATCATGCATTTGAAGCTTGGTGAACTATATAGACAAACTCTATCTCGAAAAACAAACAATTCAACTATTCTGCTATACCTTCCATAGAAAATGGATGTTTCATAATCTGTAAAAACACTTGCCTATACTTCAATGTACTTCATATTTACTCAATGCCTTTAAAATGCTAGAATAAATCATGGTAATATATCCTTTTATTGTTGGCCACTAAATCCACATTTGAAATATATGATTAACTACTCTAAACAGTACTCCATAGATATCTTACCTCTGCAAGTACTTGAAGTAGTCTGTTTACTTGCGCAAAGGTCTGTGGAAGAATACCATCATAATTTGACCTTGTACTGAAGGCATGTAACAAACTTTTAGAATCCTGAAGCAGGAATTTTACTGTTTTAAAATCCACTGCATTATTAGCTAGTAAGAAAAAAATTAAGAAAAAAAAAGTGAGAGAATAAGCATACAACATCTTGTAACACTAAGTATTAATTTTGCAATTTAAAGAGAGTAGACATTTACACATACATGTCATAACTAGCATGTCTCTCTGGTATAGAAAGCAACAACTGAACACATTTATTTATAGATTAAGTGTTCACGATGAATCTGATATTCTGTTTTCAGATTCTAGGAGTTCCTTGAATACAGCCAACTTCAAAAGATAGGAAAGTGAAATATTACATTCTTCAGTAAAAGGAATTACTCACTAGACAAAAAGCCCAACCATGGTGTGTTCAAAGTTGAAGCTGTCTCACATCCAAATGACTATCATAAACGAAGAGTCATATGTAGGGACAAGCATATAAGTCAGATGTGACTCCTATCATGACTGCACAGCTATCATGTAATAACTTACCTGAAATTCTATCACGTGAAAAGTAAAACAAGATTTATTGAAAATAATATGTTATCTCTCTGCATACAACAAAAGTTCAGCTAATAAAGAATTTGGACAACAATAAGAAACAAAAGCTATAATTGTCCGCCTTTAAGTTAAATTAAGATAATCTACCATAACTTTCTCTCAAGAGGCTAAAAATATTTCCACTAATTCCTAAGTTATTGGTGACAATCATTTTGAAGTTTTAAAAAGTTAGGAAGAAGCCAGGCATAGTGGTATATGCCTGTAATTCCAGTGCACAAGAGCAAGAAGCAGGAAAGTCGCTATAGTGAGGGTCTATTGCAAACAAAAAACATTTTGAAAATGAAATAAACAAATGAGAGAAAAGACAAATCTTTGCCATTAAAATATAATGCTAAGTAGTTGCTTCCAAAAGCAGAAATCATCATGCTGCAATATTTGCTTTGCTTCTGTTTGTGGAGAATGGTGAACAAAGACTTCTAGGTGTGGCAACGTGGGACCCTCACCCCTTATTCTCAAAGGGACAAAAAGAAATTTCCTAACAGAATGTTTTAAAATTAAAAACACAGACTAGCCTCACGTTCCCAGAAAGACAGCATTTTCCTTCCCCCTCTCATCCGGGAGATTATGAGCACAAGGACACTGAGCCCAGCCCAGTCAGCCACCTGGTTCAGGCTGCTAAAGATGGCCTGACTCAGGAACAGGGTGGCCTTGCTCTAACAAGAAAGAATTAGCTGACACAGCAGGTGGGGACAGAGCAAAAGACCTTGCACCCATGCCCAAAGCGACTTCAAAAGGCCTCTTTGTAGTTACACCTTTAAAAGCCTACCCCACAGAGGAGATACAACTCCTCTCTACCTCACTGCAGCGGGGTGTTAGAGATGGGTTCCAAATTAGCTCGTATTATGCTAAATAAACCTTGCTTATTACAGTCTGGGCCTCTCTGGGGGTCATTATCTGGGCACAACAGCAGTAAGCGTCTTTACCTGCTGAGCCACCTCTCTGGCCTGCAAGTTTTACACTTTTACATATTTCAGTAACAAGGCAGAGAGCATGATGTATGTGATGTACACCTATCTAGAATATGCCTCTAGTTTTGTGGTCTTAACTTCTAAAGAACTTCCTATTAAAATGTGTGTTCAAATGCTACAACAATTATTTGTATAGGTTCTAGTAAATCTTCCTTATTTTTTATTACCTGGCTTCTGTGCCTTTAAAACTCATTTTTTAACCAGGACTGGGGATTGAATCCAGGTCCTTATACACTCTAGACAAGCATTCTTTCACTAAGCTACACTTTCATACTTTTTTTGTTTTGTTTCTGTTTTTCAAGACAGGGTTTCTCTGTAGCTTTAGAGCCTGTCCTGGAAGTAGCTCTTGTAGACCAGGTTGGCCTCAAACTCACCATTATTCATGAGGGATAAAGTTGATTATTGACTCTTTTCAAATTCTACATGTGAAGCAATCTATTCTGCTTATTGTTTATATTCAGCCTATTTCTTAAAAAGGATTCACTGGCCTAGGTTAAATAACGCAAAACAAAACAAATAAATAAAATAATAAATAAATAAGTATATAAAACAAAAGAGTCAATAAATTAGGTTTAAAGTATGGGAGTATAGCCGGGCGGTGGTGGCACACGCCTTTAATCCCAGCATTTGGGAGACAGAGGCAGGCGAGTGCTGTGAGTACAAGGCCAATCTGGTCTACAAAGCAACAGTCAGGGCTGTGTACACAGAGAAACCCTATCTCAAAAAACAAAAACAAACAAACAAACAAAAAGATGTAGCTAGTTGACAATACATGAACAGTTAAGGCTAATTCCTTGACTTTAAAACATGAAAAAGTTGCAAAACCATGCACCAGTTAAAGCTGGATTTGCAAATCAAAGATACCAACTACTAGACTACATTCCCACTCCAATTTTGGCAGCAGAACTTCAAGAAACCAAAGTTTATGTCCAAAATAGTTTAAAAACCACAACTCAATGACTATGCCCTCTTCTGGTTCTAAACTCACTAGGAACCAAAACCAAATTTGTACAATGTAGTGCATGAAATGTGCTCACAGTTTGTGTTCAAAACCATGAAAAATGAAAGGGAATCATTTTAATAGAATTTTTTTTTTTTTTTTTACTTCTTATGGTTTTTCAAAACAGGGTTTCTCTGTAGCTTTCGGGTCTGTCCTGGAAGTCACTCTGTAGACCAGGCTGGCCTAAAACTCAAAGAGATCTGCCTGCCTCTGAGTACTGGGATTAAAGGCGTGCGCCACCACCACCTGGTTTTAATAGAGTTCTTGAGTAGATTTTGAAATGATAAAACATTTTTAAAACAAGGCGTGATGCACAACTATAATCCCAAACTTTGGGGGCAAAAGCACAGAGCTGGGAATTTAAGGTTTCCTTAGGGAGCTAGAGGTCAGTTTGGACTATGTGAGAGCCTTTCTCAAAGAATCCCAAAATAGCAACTTAAAACAAAAACTGGTTTTCTCGTCCATTTTCATATGATATGTGTGTGTATTCATGTGTGACACATACATGTATGGGGTGCACATGCACATGTGCATATGTATTGAGACACAAGGTTGATAACAGGAATCAGTCAAGCCCAGAGCTTACCAATAATAATAATCAATAATAATCAAGCTCTTCTTGGTAGTCAATTTGTGTTGATGATCCCATCTCTACCCTTTGAGTTTAGAATTACAAGGGGGTGGGTCACCATCCCACCAAGCATTTCTGGGAGTTCTGGGGATTTGAACTCGGGTTCTCATGGTTGCACAGCAAGCACTTTAACTGTTGAGTCATTTGTCAGCTCCAGAAGCAGCTTTCAAAGCACATATTATTAAAAATTATATTTACAGTGTCTAGAAACATTAAAAATGACACAATTTATAGTCACGACTTTTAAGAATTGTATCCATTCATCCAGCTGCCACAAACTTCCTTTGGAAGTATAAATCACTGTGAACTGATTAAAAGATTTTAATCAACTCATCTCCAAATTTATGACACATTTTGACTTAACTTGTGTGTTCATGTGTTCATATGTATTTGTGTGTGTGTGTGTACGTGCACATGTGGAGATACATATCCATGTGTTCTTTGTGTATGTAAATATAATGCCAGAGGCCAGTGTTAGGTCTTCCTCACTTTCTACCTTATTTTTTGAGACAAGGTCTCAAGCCCTGAACCTGGAACAATTTAGTTAGAGCTGTCCAACAAATCCTAAAGATCCTCCTGTCTCCACTCCCCTAGCATGGGATTACAGGCACAAAATAACATATCCATTTTTTAACATGAGCGCTGGACTGAACTCAGGATTTCATTCTTGTTTTGCAAGCATTTTACTGACTGAACATCTTTCCAGCCCTTTTTAATGCTTGTAAGTATAAGAGTGAGGGAGGGATGATGGAGGAAGGGAGGGATGATGAAGGAAGGGAGGGAGGGAGGGAGAACTTCATACAAGTATGCTTATGTATGCTGTTGAGGTGCCTGTGAATGTATGAATGAAGGTTAGAAGTTGACATCTTCAAGTACTCCTTGGTTGTTTCCTGACCTTATTTTTTTTCAGTTATCATCAATCCAAGACTCTACTTGAACTAGCTGGCCAGTAAGTCCTTGAAATCCACCTGCCTCCATCTCCCAAGCACTGGGATCAGAGCACACTGCTACACCCAGTTTTTCCTGGGCTCTAGGGCTCTAAACAGAGGTCATTATGTTTATGCAGCAAGTACTTTACCGACTGTCTATTGCTGTGAAGACACACCATGACCACAGCAACTCTTATAAAGGAAACCATTTAAATGAGGTGGCAGCTTATAGTTTCAGAGGTTTAGTCTATTACCATCATGGTGCAATATGGTGGCATGCAGGCAAACATGGAGTTAGAGAGGTGTTGAGAGTTCTGTATCTTGCCCAGGCAACAGGAAGTGGTCTGAGACACTGGGTATGGCTGGCTGGAGCTCCCCTTGGGGGCCACTTTCTTCCAAACCACCACACCTACCGAGTCATCTCTTCAGCCCATTTTGATTCATCCTTTTTTTTCTTTTTTCCCCATCTGCTTTTTAAAAGGGTCCCATGTAGGCTGCTATTGCACTCACTAGTAACAGTTTATCTTGAACTTCTAATTTTTCTGCCTCCACCTCCCACATGCTAAGATTACAAGATTATACCAACATACTAGATTGATTTAAACTTATAAAAACTATTGTGAAAGAAAAAAAATAAAGATTCATACCTTTCAAGAGATTTTCATATAGGCTCTCAATAGTTAAAAGCAAATTATTTTCCATAACTAATCCAAATACAGCCAGCCAATGTTTTTTAAAGCACTGCAATAGATTTACTAGAGTCCATGGTGGTTTCAAGTACAGCACCTAGAAAGTATTACAAAATTATCATCTATTGTTTATTTACCTGTTATTTAAACATACCTGTGTAGGAACTTATACATGTCCCTAATAAAAATACAGCTCTTCACTCTATTTTTAAATTAAGAGGTGCTAATCACAATTTTAAAGAGGTAGGTCTAATACAGATTGATTTTTATAAAATTCGTATTAACTTTTAGTTCCATAACTTTTAAGTAAATAAAGAAAGCAAACTCTAGTTAGAGAAGTAGTATAGTTTTAACAAGAATGGTACCTCAATCTACTTTTTTCTTTTTTTAAGTTAATGCTTTTGCTATATTTTATGTGTAAAAGTGTTTCCTGCATGTGTGTCTGATCCCCACAGCGGCCAGAAGAGAGCATCAGATCCCCTGGAATTGGAGCTACAAATGGTTATGGGTAGCCATGTGGATGCTGGCTGGGTCCTTTGCAAGAACAGCAAATGCTCTTAACCACTGAGCCCCCACTCCAGCCCCTCAATCTTCTCTTCTATATGGTCATTTCCATAAGCAAAACAATCTAAATATTTCATATAGAAGAGGGAAAAATCTATATAAAAAATAATGAAATGCAACTGTCACTTGCTACACTCTTACAAAAACATATTTATAGATAATTGATCTCAGTTTAAGAAGATATCAATGCCTTTTTCTGAACCATTCATACTTCTATGAAATATTCAACATATAAACAATCCTCTTAAATATTTTATTCGTCTTCATTATTTTTGGATCAGCATTTGAAAATACTAAACAGCAAATATATCACACTGGCAAGTTTTAGAATCTTGTTGAATAGCTGGAACAAAGGCATCAGCTACAACTAATGGGTTATAACATTTCTCTTAGCAAAAATGTGAATTTGAAACAAGTATTAAACTAACTTTTACAGCTGGGCAGTGGTGGTACAAACCTTTATTTTCAGCATTTTTGAGGCAGAGACAGGTAGTTCTCTGTGAGCTCACGGCCAGCCTGGACTACAAAGTGAGTTCTAGGACAGCCAGGACTGTTAAACAGAGAAACCCTGTCTCAAAGAACCAAAAACTAAACCAAAGTAATAAACTAAGTTTTATAAGTATGCTTGCTAAATTTGATTTCATTTAACTGTAGAAAAAAGACATTAAGCTAAAGAAATTCAAAATTCCTTAATTTTTAAAAATAACTTGTTTAACTTTATTTTTATGTACATTGGTGTGAAGGTGTCAGATCCCTGTAGTTACAAACAGTTGTAGGCTACCATGTGGGTCTTGGGAATTGAACCTGGGTCTTCTGGAAGAATAGCCAATGCTCTAAACACTAAGTCATCTCTCCAGCCTCCAAAATATCTTATTATGATCAATTTTTACTCTCATATTTACATGGCATAAAAGTCAAATATACAGTGAGATACAGTGGTGTATACCTTTAATCCCAGCAATGGGGAGGCAAAGGCAGGCAGACTGCTGTGAGTTCAAGGCCCACCTGGTCTACACAGAAAGTTACTAGGCAGCCCGGGCTACACAGAGAAACCCTGTCTTGAAACACACACACACACACACACACACACACGGTCAAATATACAGACATTTTGTCACACAGTTTGAACAAATCAAATTGAATGAGCAAAGTATTTATATATTGTCTATTTTGCTTGATCTCTTGTACCCCAAGCTCACTACATAGCCAAAGATAATCTTGAATTCCTGATCCTTATGCCTACCTTCAGGTGCTAGGATAATAGGAATGTACACCATACACGATTTATGTGGCACTGGGAATAAAACCTGCAGCCTTAGGTTGCTAGGTAACCATTCTACTAACTGAGCTATATCCTAGTCCTTGTGCAAGAACTTTCAGGATTTAATTTAAGTTCTAGGAGGTCAATGTATCAAATATTCATAGTAGATGAACAACAACTATTGGTTAATTTAAAACAAATACAGAATCTTCCCTTGGAGTACCTACCTCTTCTTTCTCATTTTTCCTTAATATATCTACTTTTGCTCTGTTCAAAGCAAAATAAATACTATAAAGTCCTAGCCTGTAAGAAATGTTCATCATATAATTATCAAAAAGTTATTACAAGGCCAGCAATGGTTCAGCATATTAAGATACTTGTCACCAAGTCTGACAACCTGGGTTTAATCATGACAAAAGGAGAGAATCAATTCCTGTCAAGTTGTTCTCTGACTTCTACAGGAGCACCAAGGCAAACACATACTTGCATACATGTACACACTTGTACACAAACAAAAAACAAAATAAATATATAATCAATTTGAAATTTTTAAATTATTATAAAACTTAGAAAAAAATGTGATATGGATTACTGTAAAGTTTTTTAATTTACACAAACATCTTCTAAGATAACAAACCATCAATAATAAAAAGTATCAACTAATATCATGTACCTCCATCCAAAGATTTCCAAAAGCAATTTTCATTTCTGTTTCTAATATTGAAGATAAAGCTGTTCCAAGAGATTTTTCAAAATCACATATAATGTGCTCAAGCAGAATGGACAGTCCAGAATTTGTAGATTCTTCCTTAGATGTCTCCTGTATAGGTGCTGTTTCTTTAAGACAAAGTTTCAGGTTTTACTAAAAGAGTTATCTTTAGTTTAGTTTAGTTTGTTTTACTAAACAAGTTATCTCTTGTTTTGAGACAGGGTTTCAAGCAGTATAAGCAGGTCTCTAAGTTACTGTGTAACTGAGGATGACCTTGACCTTCTGACCCTTGTCTCTTTCCCAATGCTGGGATTACAAGCATGCATCACCATGCTAAGTTTATATAGTACTAATATCAAACATAACGATAGGGCTATGCTCGTTCTAGGAAAGTACTTGACTAGCTGAGCTACATCCCCAATCCCCACTTAGGGTTTTTGACAAAAAGCAAAAACAACCCCCCAAAACCCTAAATTTTTTTTTTACTCAAATGGAAATATGAAAAAACATGTTATTTTAACTAAATAAATTTTATTATTTTTGTGTGTGTGCAGCAAGTGCTTTTATCCATTGAGCCATGCCACTGACCTCATTTTACATATTTTTATTTATTGACCATCTCTTAACATTAAGGCATTGTTTTTATTATTTAAAAAATCTAAATAAACAAAAAAACAGTAAGATAAAAAAATATCAAAATGAAACAATGAAACAAGAAGCCTACACACACACACACATAAGACTCATTTTGTGTTAGTCAGCTACTCCAGGGCACTGGACCTATCCTGGAGGTGGCTGATAGACCCAGCCAGATTCCATTGGAGAAAGCTGATCTTCTCATCCCAGCAGGTATCAGCTGCAAAGAGTTCCTTAGCTAGGGGAAAGACTTTGCGTACATTTCTTCTCAGGGCTGAGATGAAAATTTTATTTTATTCAAACAGAAGAATTACAAGAATTCTTTATTTTCTGGTTTTTTGTTTGTTTGTTTTTTTTTTAAACTATCTGGCAACTGCATCAAAGTTGGTTTTCTTCCCCAAAATGGTGCATATTTCAACCCGTATCAATAAAGTGTTTTAAAATGAACAAAGTTTCTGGCTTATCTACATCCATGCTAACCTCCTTCAAAATAATCTTTTATAAGTTCAGCTGTTACCATTTCATTAACATTATACTTTTATACTTGAAAAATCACTACAATTTCTTTACAGTAAATTCAAATACCGAGTGACTCATCTCCACAGACCCCAGATAAGGGTTGAGAGTGACAGTAATAGAATGGACAAACTGAAGTTTACTCCTGGAAAACCATGAACTATAATATCCTGTAATTCCTCCCAAATATCATTTTGAGTATCATGACAAAGATACACTATTCTCAAAAAGGGAACAAAGCAGTATATATGAGTGCATTAATATTTATACAATTACTTATAAAAGTATATCTAATGTAAAAAGTCAACAATTGCTTTCTCCACAAAGAGGCCAGAAAAATGGTCAGATCCCCTGGAACTAGAGTTGTTTGTGAATGTTGGCAAATGAACTCTGGTCCTGTGAAAGAGCAGGAAGCACCCTTAAGTACGGAAGGAAAGTTCTCCATAAAAAGAAAAGCTGTAGTGGTATATTAATCATTTTGATGAATAAATCTTGCCTGAAGATCAGAGGCAAAGCTAAAGCCACTACAGGTCAGGCAGGCATGGTGACACCTTTAATCCCAGGATTTGGGAGTGTTAGAGGGATCTCTGTGAGTTCAAGGTCACCCTGGGCTACACAAGATAAATGCAGAAACAAATCCAGGTGAGGGTACCTCACCATGAATCCCAGCACTAGGGAATCGTACACCCTTAATCCCAGCACTAGAGGGAATATAAAATGAGGGGAGACAGAGGCTTAGTCTGTTTAGTTTGCAGTCGCCCAGTCTTGGTAGAGGTAAGACTCTAGAGTCTACTAAGACTCTAGCAATGTAGTAGTTTATCAAATATCAAATCACAGAATAGATCATTCTAATAAAAAGTCAGTATTGTCCTTATATTCCTTAATTATTAGTTTAAATTTTAAGAAAAAACTATTTTACTAGAATTGTATATCTGATTTTTCTATGTTAATAAAGGATTAGGAATATGAAACTAATTTTACAAAAATTAAAGTTTCATGTCAAAAGAATAGTTCCTACAACCATTAATAATTTAAAAGACACATTTTACAAGGTACAAGTTCTGTCCACAATGATTATAAATAAGTAAAAATGAAAGTGAGAAAATGAATAAAAATAAAATTAAAAGTATATGGAAATAAACAGCAAAAATAGTAATGCTTGCTTCTGCATTTTCATAATTTTAATTTAATACATGAGTAAGTATTCTAAGCTTGCTATTATTTTAAATTACTAGATAAAATTGTATATTAGTTTTAAATGTTTCCAAAAATATTAGTGCACAAGATGTACTTCTTTCTAATCATTAGTAGTAAAATTATTACCTGCTTTCAGCTGTTGATTAGAAATACAAGGCTGAGGACACACACTTGTGTTCAGAGCTAAAGATACCATCTCTGCATCCAATTCTTCTTTACTGAGTGACTTCACACCACTTATCAGTCCTTTACTTCTTAAATTCCTATCATCCCTGAAGGTATGGTTACAGAAGAAAAAATATTTTAGAAGATCAACTATATGTCAATTCAGAAACACAGGTTATCAATATAAACATTAAAAATCGTTAGAAGTTTAGAAATGAAATCGAGAAAAGCATTTATATGGGATTAAGGGGTTGTTTAGTGGTTAAGAGCACTGTCTGCTTGTGCAGAGCACCAGATGCCCCGGCATCCGAGTGTTCCTGTGCTCATACTCATGTGCCCACACATACACACACAAAATCAAAGATTATAAAATAAAACTTAGAGAAAGATTAAGGCTTAGATTATTTGAAGTTTCTATAAACGTCTCTTTAGGCACTAGCAATAGCCCATAAACTTCATATGGTGCCTTTCAACTGTCATTCAATATTTGTACTTGTGTGCTCACACACACGTGTCACAGAGGCCAGGAGAGGCTGTCGGATTCCCTGGAAGTGAAGAAGTTCTAGGTAGTTGTAAGCTGCCCAATGTCCGGTTGAAAACCAAACTTGGGTCCTCTGAAAGAGGAGTGCATGCTTTCAACTGCTGAGACATCTCTCTAGCTCCTAAGCATCTTCTTAAGAAACAGGAAAAAAGGGGGAAGAAAGGCATACCAGTACTTTCTGGGATGATCAATATGTTTTATATACTGAGAGAAATATGAACCATGCTACTGTGTCGATTTGATAATGCTGATAGTTATTAATATATCTGTGTATTCCAACATAAGTACATTTTTTCTCAAAAAAATAACTAAAAATAATCAAGCTAGATAGGGAGTGAATAAAGATACAGACGACAGAAAAAATAGCAGACTCTTAATAATTGTTGTAGTTAGATTAGGATTTCATTCCTCCCTGCCTTCTAGAACTGGGAATTGAGTCTAGGGCCTCATGGATGCTAGTAAGTGCTCTACCACTGGTACATTTCCAGTCCCAGGAGTTTATTCTTCACTTTGAATATTGTTGGAATTCTTCATAATATAAATAAGGAAGTACTATTTAATTTTTAGAACAATAAGGGTATCGAGTGAGGAAGTAGAAAGCATGATAGTGTTAACTGTAGAAAAGGGGAAAGTAGCATGCTTTAATGTGGAGTGGTGGCAGGGAGATAACAAAGAGACCCAGCAGAACAAAATATGAAAGTATGCTCTTTACACAGGACTCAGCATAGGACTTTGGAAACAGATCAAATATGGTACTTTTCACTCACTTAAAAAATAGTTTAAATTAGGCAAAGTTCGGGGAATCCTGAGGAAGTGGGAAAAGAAGGATTGAGCCAGAAGGGTCAACGGCACCACAAGAAAATGGTCCACACAATCAACTAATCAGGGTTCACAGGGACTCACTATCAGGGAGCCCATATGGTTGACCTAGGTCTTCTGCATACATGTTATGTCTGTATAGCTTGGTATTCTTGTGGGGCTCCTAACAGTGAGCAGGGGGTTGTCTGACTCTTTAGCCTGCTTTTAGAACCCTTTTCCTTCTTGGCTGCTTCATTTAGCCTTAATATGAAGGGATATTCATATTAAGTCTTAAATGCCTAGTCTTAAAGCAACTTAATATGCAATGTTTAGTTAATATCCCTAGGAGAACTGCCCTTTTCTGAAGGGAAATGGAGGAGGAATGCATCTGGGGAGAGTAAAGGTGGGAGGAGGGGGGACTGGGAGGAGAAAAGGAAGGGGAAATGAGGTTGGGATGTAATACATGAGGAAAAACCAAGAGTATTTTTTTTAATAATGATAGATTTCAAATGACTTCAAAATACAAGTGAAACTATCAAATAAGTAGGTGAGTATATTAGCCTGGAACTTAGAAGAATCATATAGATATGAGATATTAAATGAGATTGTTAGTTCAGACAGTAAATCTAAGGGAAACACTTAAAATAATCTGGAGCAGTGGATTCTGATTCCAGATCCCCTCGTCTCATGAGGAGTCTGCTTTCTCATCTTCTTTTTAAATAAAATTTGCTTTCCAAGGTTCCAAAGAAAATAATGCATAGTATACGGTGTTGTGCTTTTTCCTATTACTATCAACAACTGCTAACAACTGTAACATCATCACCATCATTATCCATACAGCTAAAGACATGCACCCTCACAATAGGTACAAGTTGGAAGATGACTTCTACAACACACAGTATCAACACTTAAAGAAAAGCCCTGTTGAGTGCAGCAGCACATACCTTTATTCTTACTACTCAGAGCACAGAAGCAAGTGGGTCTTCATGAGTTTGATGCCAACCAGCTCTATATAAAAGTTCTAGGCTAGACAGGCAGTGGTAGCTCATGCTTTTAAACCCAACACTCAGGAGGCAGAGGCAGATGAATCCCTGAATTTAAGGCCAGCCTGGTTTACAGAAGAATTCCAGGACAGATTTCTCTGTATTGGCTAAACAGAGAAACCCTGTCTGAAAAAGTCAAAAGAAAAAAGTTCTAGGCTAACCAAAGCTACATGGTTATATGAGCTCTAGGCCAACATGAGCAACATGGCTACCTTATCTCAACTTAAAAAATAAAAAAGTGACCATGTTCTAGGCACTACCTCTAATTCCTTTACATATATTACCTAATAAACCTTATGAAGCAGGTATTCATCCTTCTGTTTTTTAGACACAAAGAAGCTAAGTTAGAAAAACTGGAGAGTCGTACAGCTGATAGCTGACAGACCTAGAACTATAGCCCAGGCAAATTTACTGCAGAAGAGGCACCCACAGGGTAATGTAACATAAGCTACCTTCTCCTTGTATATAAATAAATAACCAACTTTTTGTCTCATATGACTGGAAAGTTTTTTTAAATGTTTATTTATTTATTATGTATACAATATTCTGTCTGTGTGTATGCCTGCAGGCCAGAAGAGGGCACCAGACCTCATTACAGATGGTTGTGAGGCACCATATGGTTGCTGAAAATTGAACTCAGGACCTTCGGACGAGCAGGCAATGCTCTCAACCTCTGAGCCATCTCTCCAGCCCCTGGAAAATTCTTTAAGATTTTGATATCAACTTCCCATCCCTCAAAGTGTTCTGAGTATTATATAAATTATATTGAAATAAAAGCTCATTCATTTAGTATCTCATTCCTCTGGGATCGTGTATCATAAAAAATAATAGCTGAGTATGATTAGTGGTAGATTTAGAAAATTGTTTGATCCTTAATTTGGTAAATAAAATTTCTAAAAATTCTTTACTGTAAGTTATTATTTTAAAAATCAAAACAAAAACACAATGACTATGACACTCACGTGCACAGAATAACAAGAGAATATGGAAATAATTCCTGGTACTGCAGACAGCATTTTAATACTCGATCATCATTGTTCTCATCACTCAATCCATCTGCAAATGGAAAGATAACTGTCAATAAGTATATCAGAAATCTAGACATTGCTTGTGCATGTTGACTCATGCCGGTAATTCCAGTATTCAAGAGGCTGAGGCAGGAAGAGTGTCACAAATTCAAGGCTGGCTTGGGCTACAGAATAAGACCAGGCAATGGGGGAAAAAAGCTGGGGAGGGGGCAGGGAGGGCTGGAATAATAGTTTAGGTAATTTAAATAAGTGCCTGTTTCTTCAGAACAACTGTGCTTTCCCATGTACAGGAGAACATACACAAATATGTATATACACACACATCAGAAAAATACACCTACACAAAGATAAGAAAACAGGATATCACCTGAGTAATCTAGGCAATATTTACACATTAAAACTATGTAGGTTTTAAGGCAACGAAGCTACTCTGACAGCAGCACAGTGGATACATGTCAGTATATAGTTCTCCAAACCCATACAATATAAACTATGTGACAATGATGTGCCAAAGTGGGTTCACTGATTGTAATACATTTCTTTTTTCTTTTCTTTTTTGGTCTTTTGAGAGAGAGGGTCTCTCTGTAGACTTGGCTGTCCTAGAACTCACTACGTAGAGCAAACTGGCTTTGAACTCACAGAGATATGCCTGCAACTGCCTCCCAAGTGCTAAGATTAAAGGCATGAACCATCACACCTGGTTGTAATATATTTCTTACTCTGGTGGGAAGTACTGATTATAAGAGAATTATTATGCATGAGAATAGGAAGAATATGAGAAATTTCTATAACTTCTGCTCAATTTTGCTGAAAAGCTAAAACTTGTCCAAGCTTTTATTTTTTAAAACATATCTGAAAGAAAACTCATTCAATAAAATGAGGATAGCGAAACAGTATCTTCAGAACTCTGAATCCAGACATCACAGTCTATAACTAAATTTCTTGTATATGTTTTTCCTTAACATCTAAAACACTGCATTTAGAGAAGTACAGGAAAGGAAACATGACTCCTTGGCAGAAAACACAAAAAGTGAGCCAGGCATAATAGCATATACTAGCAGAGTATAGGAAGAAGGGTAAAGAGTTCAAAGTCATCTGCACCTACATAGTGAGCTCATGGTCTGCCTGGGCTGAGACCATGTCTTGAAAAACCAAAAAGAAAAAAAGGGAGGACAGGGAAAGGTAGAGGAGAGGAGGAATATAAGGGAAAAGGGGGAAGGTAGGGAGATAGAGGAGGGAAGACAGAAAAAGAAGAAGGGAAAAGGTTAAAGAGGGAAGACAGGAGAGGAACAAGAGAAGAAAGGAGGGAGAGGGAGTAACAGAAGGAAAATGTAAATCATTATATAAAAAGGGGGGGCTGGAGAGATGGCTCAGCAGTTAAGAACACTGGCTGCTCTTCCAAAGGACCTGGGTTCACTTCCTAGCACTCATATGGCAGCTCACACCTGTGTGTTAACTCCAATTCCAGGGTTTCTGACACCCTCACACAGACATATGCAGGTGAACATCAATGCACATAAATAAATTATTTAAGAAAAATGGAAAATCCGAAGTTCTATAGCATAGTCAAGTATGTATAAAAACTATTATTTAAAAAAGAGGGGGAAATCTAAAGTTCCATAGTATATTCAAGTACACATAAGGAACTATATAATCATTATCTGTGAAATACTAACACAGCCTAAGAAAGGATAGAAAAAACAGTAAGACAAAACCAAAGACTCCCAAAATGAGTCAAAAATTGCCACAATACCCTTTCCATTTCGCATTTTTATAAAGGACTACACACTGTTAATTTTTATATCACTTCCTTCCAGTAATAAGCCAGCACCCAAACAAATCTTTATCAAGGATAAAGACACCCAGGAACAATAGTACTTACAAAGTTTTTGGGATGCCAGTTGTAATGACTGACCCCACAGCTTTCTATCTTGACTTCTGAGGCTGTCATTGATGAAGTGAATTGCAGGCACAGCTTTGTGCTGGACATGTTTTAATAATTTTCCTGCCTTCATGCGATCTAGCTCTTGCACAACCACCCAGGGAATTATTAACACAAGTGTATCAAAGCCTAAAAACAGAAACATTTCTTAGAATCCAACATGCATTGAGCTTCTACATCAGTTTCTGTAGAAGTCGAAGTTTTAAAGTACACAGCCTCCAGGCCATCTTGATGGCTTGGCGGGCAAGTACATTTGCTGCTAAGTCTGAGGACCCACATGGTGGCAAGATAAATGGAGTCAAGCTGTCTCCAAGTTATTCTCTAACTTCCACACATATCCTGTGGCATGTTAAGAATTTAAATATTAAAAACTACCAAATTACAAAAAGAATGAATTTAGCAAACATGAGTCCTATAATCAAGGTTTGCAAATGTAAACAATTTCACAATAAACAAATAATTTTACATACTGTTCATTTAAACCATTTCCTTTCAATAATAAGACAACACCCAAACAAATCTTTATCAAAATTTAAATATGCTAAGTGGCATCCAAAAGTATATTTTAAATTTCTAGATTAGGATATCTTTTAAAAAATTCAGATGACGTAATACAACTGTGAGAAAAAACAACTGTTAATACAGAATATCAACTCAAAAAAGAAAATCAGCATCTGTGAATTTTTATATATACCTGGTATCTCTGTAGTCTTCAAAATTTTAACAAACTTGAGATGATTCATCAGAATATTTGTGTCAATAACAATTAGAAGCTTTTTGTCTGTGGCAGTATTTACTGGAGAAGAAGAGCAGAGGTGGGATTTCACAACACTTGAAAATACATTATGATCAAATTTGGGGATCATAAAAGTACAGACAATTTATTGAACTTAAAAACCTTAGCTTAATGGAATAAGAGAATCATAGGATTCTCAAACTAACACCTATCTGATCCACTACTGTTGCCATGTGACTTTCACTCCAGCCAGGGTTCCCTGGGTAGGACCCACAACCTTATTTAAGCCAGAGAGTCCGGCAAAAGAGGGTCAAGGGAAAGTGAAGCCTGATGAAGCAGAAGTGCAGGCACAGACAGGATCAAGACTAGCGAACTGTCCATAAAAGTGTTCTTAGGAACATTCTTATAGGAAGAAGTCCTTTAAACAGGGACTACAAAACTCCGATTACTTCAGTTCTTAATGGAAAAAATAGTAACCACAAGTTCCCACCCCAGTAAACTATCATAAATTGTGGGTATATTTTCAACATAAACTGACCTGCCCCCGCAGTAACTATGTACGGTTCTAAATTCTGCCCTGCATCCCTGAGAGTTATGCACTCAAGAAGCATAAATTAATTTTATTATAATCTCACTAAAATAATTACTGAAAATCTGTTTGCATGTAAAAAAAAAAGAAAAAAGAAAAGCAGCAGTGTTATTTCATAGGACCTTTGGGAAGATCTAGTAAGTTTCCTACCAGATCATACAGAAAAAATGATTAGAAATTTGTAAAATATAAGCACTTTAAATAAGAATAAGAGGTAGTACTATAATTTTTATAGTAAATTCAATATAACATACTAATTTAGATAACCTTATTTGAGACAGGAATATATAAGACTATAAAGAACAGGCTGTCCTAGAACTCTACATAGCCCAAAACAGTCTTGAACTCCTAATCCTCCTGCCTCAGCTTCCCAAGTGCTGGAACAACAGGCATGCACCACCATGCCCAGTATTTTGAATAACTGTTATTATGTGTTCTCAGTATTAAAAATTTTACTATATTAACAAGGAAATCATGAATATAATACTGTTAAGCAAACTGCCTTCTATCTGATCAGTGCTTTTATATGACTAAAAGAACTAAAAGTTGTAATTAAGAGCAAGCATAAAAGACAGTGCATAACCTGATTATTCTTGAGAAAATGTCTAATAGTCTACTAGGATAAGAAATTCATGATTATCATTTTAAATGAGCACCTTGTAACATCTGTACACAGTAAAACCTGAATGCTAGTACAACAATTCTTAGAAAAAGCACAGATCATAAAAAGTAACATAGAGTATACCAGTAGAAGAATGCACATCATCTTCCACCAAGTCAATTTCCATACTCATTAATTCTCCGGAAGGTGGAACCACAGGTAAATGCACACTTTTCCCCACACGTGCAGCATGGAGCTCTTCTACTATCTGCATCTACATTTTAAAAGACCCCAGTGAAATATCTGAATTACTTACTAAAAATATTTAATAAGAAAGCAATACATCACAAACACCTTAGAGAAATAAGAGACAACACAGTAAAGCATATAGATTTATAACCACATGGTTTTAAAATCAGTTCCTTTCTGTAGCCTTAGGCAAACAAACTGTTTTACTACTTTAGAACTTAACTTGTCCATTTATAAAGAATATTAAATTTGTCTACTTTCTTTATGATTTTTATATAATTAAAGTTAAGTCATGTGAAGTTCCTTGCCTAAAACCTAGTATATAGACAACAAAATAAGTTCACTGTCATGTCTATTTCATCTCACTTTAAGGAGTCAGCTTTCTCCATCTTAATGTGTGTGAAGTGAGTGTGAACTGAGAAGACAGCTTAGTGCTAGAAAGTTTGCTCAGCATGTGTGAGCCCCTGGATTCAACCCCTGCCTCTATTAAAAACCAAAAATGTCTCGTCCAATGTCCTTGACACTTCTAATATTGTTTATCCTCCATCAGAAACTAAGCTAAATCTTTTATCATTAATTGTACTATACTTTAAAATTATTTGCATTGGGGCAACACAGGAGTGAATGTACACAAGCATCTTTACCCCCGCAAGCCATCCCGTTGGCTTTGCACTATAAATCTTAAGATCCTTCTCATTTTACATGTACTTCTCTGATGGTATTTTGATATAAAAAAATTAAATATGGCTGGGCATGGCATCACACACCTACAATTCCAGCACTCGGAAGGCTGAGGCTGGAAGATCATTCAATTCAAGGCTAGCCTTCTTCACACAGCAAGAACAAGGCCAGCCTGAGTCACACAGTGAGAAACTGTATGATTTAAAATTTAAAAAAAAAAAAGAAGAAACAAGAGTATGTTCTATCTTTAAAGCAGTCAGGAGCAGTCTTTTATCAAGGGGTACTGACTCATAAAACAGGAGGAAAAAGTATTACAAATAAAAGTTATCAACAATATTAAAGAGAAAAATGCAAAATGGCAGTGAATTTTAATTTACTCAGGCAACATAAAATTTACACAATAACCTCATAAAGATAAATCAGAAGATTCTAGGTAGAAAATATAGCAATAGGCAAAAAGATAAAATACTGTGGACTTTTTTTTGACAATAACAATTTCATCTTATTGCTGAGTAGAAAAATGAAGAACAGGTTGGCAAGTCTAGGTATAAATATGGAAAGGCATAACATTAAATCAAAATAAATTTAACTTGTGGTACATGAACACCACCCTCTGTTTAAAGTAGAGCAGCTTATCAGAAACAAAAGCAAAAGTCAAGCAAATGTATAGACTTCTCCCAGTAACTACCCCATGCTAGGATTAACCCAGAGCCTTATTCTGCTAGAAAAGTACTCTACTACCGCATTGCATCCCTAGCCCCTCTGAATGGTGTTTGATGACCTAATTAAAACTTACAGACTGATCTTCCTAGTAAATCAATATACAGAATTCTTTTGGAGTTTAAGTTGAGACTTTTTTACAGATAGTTTATTAAAAATAGCAACTGCTTAGCTAGGCATCCTGACATATACCTGTAACTACACCAATCAGGAGGTCGAGTCAGAAGCATCACAAGTTTGAGATCATCCTAGGCTGCATAGTAAGACCCTGTTGCAAGTTACCTTCACAAACACACACTCAAAAAAGAAGGAAGGAAGGAAGGAAGGAAGGAAGGAAGGAAGGAAGGAAGGAAGGAAGGAAGGAAGGAAAGAAGGAAAGAAGGAAGGAAGGAAGGAAGGACGGACGAACTGTTTGAATTTCTTTAAATAAACAAAATAAGAAAGTGCATCAGTAACCTCTTCATCTGTATCTTGGATGTTCTCAGATGACACTGAAGAACATGGTGTTTCAAAATTCTGAAATGAGAAAAGGATTTTGAGTTAAGCTTTATGTGGTGTATAACAGCATCACTGAATTCAAGTAGTCAGCTACCAGAACTGATACTCACCCTGCCCCCAATAACAAAAAAATAAAAATATGTATTTATGTTTGTGTGTGTAAATCAGAGGACAACTTGGCAGAGTCAGCTCTCTCCTTCCTCCGTGTGGATCCCACGAATCAAAACCAAGTCATCAGGCTTGGTGGCAAGTTGCCTTCATCCACTGAGCCATCTTGCCAGTCCCCACCATATTGACAAAGAAAAGAGTTTCCAAACATTAATGAACACCCTGAGAGATAAAACTGCCCCCGCATGAGAAATCACCTCTAGAAAAAACCTGTTCTCCTAAGTCATAAAATGTGAGTCATATTCCTTAGGGCTTTCAGTCATTAAAATACTCTTCTTTCAGTAACAGAATTATATGCTAACATAAAGATAAATAAGCAGATTTTCAGTGGCAGAAAAATTTCATTCAGAAATCACTGAATTCCTTCACAGCCCTTTCACTAAAACCAAGTGCAGAAGTCACTGAGCCATTTCTAAAAGTAACCTGATAAAAGACACAAAACAAAACAAAGAAATTTGAGGACTGTATAACAGCTAAGAAGAAAAGGCCAAAACCCACAGGGCTGCATTACATGTAGTGAGAGCACCAGAAATCTGTTTTATTGTCTGTCTTCTAATAGAGAAGGGAAAAAAAAAAAAACTTTCCAACCTTTCCATAAACTCCAATTCTGTACCAGCACTTTAATATTTCATGACAAGATCTCCCTCTTACTTTAAATATAATTAAAATTTATTTAAGGTTTTCTTAAGCTAAAAAGTGCCAAGGGAGATAGCTAAAATAATCAGAGCTGCTTGTAACTAGATATTCTAATATCTATGTTATCTTTTTTAGGCTTGTTCTATTCATTGTTCTCTGACATCACATCACTTCCAGAGAGGTCAATGAATCTTTCACCTAGTGTAAGAAATTCATGTCATCTCTGAAACTTCCTAAGCCTAATACAAGTAGAAAGAAATATTAGAGGGCACTGAATTAATGCTCCACCTTACTATACTATACTTTATTAAATACACTGAATGTGGATAACAAAGTGACTCTGAATGGAAAAACTCAATGATCTTGCTTCCCTGATTACCTCTCAGTGTCTCTCTTCCATCTACAAGATACAATACAAAACACTAGGCTTTCCTATGACAGCGTCTTAGTTACTGTTCTATTGTTATGAAACAACACCATGACCAAGGCAACTCTTATAAAAGGTGCAAAGGTGACCTATAGTTCATTATAATATTATAAACCACTAGAAGAGATTTAAGATTCTAATTTAAGATATGATATGTAACACATAAAGTTGTATGTATGCAGAACTACATATAACAAGTACACACAGAAAAACCAGTGCTATGCAAATAAGCTAAAAATCCAAACTAAAGTAACATAAAACTGCAACTCTTTGTGCAGTAGGGTGGAAGTTATGAGTTCCTCTCTATCCCAATCAGCTTCTTCCCCTTGGAAGTATATCTTCTAATAAATTGCTGCTGCCTGGAATTGTATCCTTTCTGACTAAATTTTTCTCCCTTTGCTTACCACTATCTATATGTACAGTTATTTGTCCCTGAACACAGAACCTAGATACTGCCCTGATTCCAAAACCAGGTGCTTTCAATATCATCCTAAATCAACTGGAATGAAATATAATAAAACAAGACTCAGGGCCCGGCAGTAGTGGCACACGCCTTTAATCCCAGCACTCGGAAGACAGAGGCAGGTCAATCTCTGTGAGTTCGAGGCCAGCCTGGTCTACAGAATGAGTTTCAGGACAGGTTCCAAAGTCACACAGAGAAACCCTGTCTTAAAAAAACAAAAATAAAAACAAGACATGGATACATTATCTACATGGCTAAATCTGAATTAGCACTCTACGATTATCATCAATAACAGAAGCAACTAAAACTTGAACATTTTAAATAAATGATTTTGCTAAAAGCAAATCCTCTATTTTATACATTACCTGGGTACGGTTTTCCTTCGAATCTGAACTATTAATATTAACTCTTGGATGCTCATGAAGGTCTTTCCTTTTCCCCTCACAGGCAGTCTGCTTACATGTGGACTCTGAAAACAAGTTCCCGGCTTTGGGCCTGGTCAAATCGAATGACGTCTGGGAACTTTTCAAGCACTCCTTTTTTTCCTGCTTATTCTTTGACTTTCTAGAATCAACACTGAAGACGTTTCCTTTTACAAGCTTCTGGATGGCGCCAGAGGGCTTTTTGGGAATTTTGAAGCTGATCTTCTTTCTTCCAGAGTCAAACGGTTCCTTGATTATATTGCTGAAATTGTAATTCTGAGGAAGCTGATTTTTCTTATATTTCTCCAATTCTTCAGAACTGTCTCTGAGTTTACTGTTCTTTTCTTTCTTGAATTCTTTCATTTTCTGAATAAGTGAATGAGGCCAATTCTTTTCCTTTGTCTGGCCTTCAGCTTCAGATTTCGTATCTTTGGTAATTTTAATGCTGCGATGTTTTTTTATTTCATAATCAAGCTTACTTCCAATATTTGTCAATTTACTATCTTTAAGTTTAGTATCTTTAGTTCCATTTGATGCACAACTCTGTGAAGTAACTCGATTGTTATTTGAATATGATGTTACTTGGAGTTCAGTAGGTCCTTCAGTGGAAGAACTGAATTTTGATCTCTTTCTGGGCGTGTCAACTTCTACATCCGATCTATAAAGCAGCACAGAAACATGTTGTACTTGTTTACACACTGCTGAGATGTGTCATTATGTTACAGTCAATCGGGCTGGAGAGATGGCTCAGCGCTCAGGAGTACACACCACTCATGCAAAGGGCCTGAGTTTCATTCCCAGCACCCACACTGGGTAGCTCACAATTGTCTGTAACTTAATGTACACATTATTCTTTTTATATTTATCTCCATTATTAACAAGAAACTCCTTAACTATAAAACTCTTTGAAGTTTTTATCCAAAGAATGAAGAAATTAAAGAAAAATAATTTCCTTCTCTCCATCATTTTTCACATTCATTAGTTGAATTCACAGGAAGGCTAATTAACATAATTTTAGAGCCTTGTCTATAATTTAGTAAATTACATATTCTTTCACAGGTAATCTATAAAAGTAATCTATAAATAATTTCTAAGTAAATTTTACAAGTTCTCTACTAGCACATAAAATGAAGTCATGCATCTTATAATTATGTATCGAAACCAGTTCCCTGGAGTTAATAATAATTCATACTGAGTCTGAGTGCATTTATACAACAGTTTTGATAGATTTTTCTAATTTCACTCAACTTTTTTTTTTTATTTACTTATTTATTTTTTGGTTTTTCAAGACAAGGTTTCTCTATGTAGTACTGGAACTCACTCTGTAGACCAGGCTGGCCTCAAACTCAGAGATCCACCAACCTCAGCCTCCTGAGTGGTGAGATTAAATGCATGTTACCACCACTGCCTGGCTTTTTAGTATTTTTTCCTCAACTTTTTTCTTAAACTTCTAGTAATCTATGATATTACCAGAAATATCTGCATGTAAAACAATACTAAACAAAGTAAATAAAAAGTTTACCAAATTTAAACATTTAGTCTTGGGCCAGCAAGGTGGCTCAGTGGGTAAAGGTACTTGCCACCACTAAGCCTGACAACTTGAGTTCAATCCCTGGGATCCACATAGTGGCTAAAGAAAACCTACTCATACAAGTTGTTCTCTGATCGCCACATACCAAAGCACATATAAATAAATAGAAAAGGATAAAATAAATATAAAAGTAATTAAAATTTACATAAACAAATATTTAGTCCAGATGTTTATCATGGTGCCTCAAGATAAGGGAAGAGGATCATGAGTTGAAGATCTAACCTAGGTTACACGACAAGATCCAGGTCAGCCTGCTCTACATGGTAATAACCTGTCCTAGAATCCCAAGGGTAGGGATATAACCCAATGACAGAGTGCTTGCCTAGCACATACAAGATATTGGGGTTCGAGCTCAAGTACTGGGGGAAAAAATCTTTTAGTGTCATTAATTCTGAGCTAAAACTGTAAAAGATGTGAATAAAGAGAGAGAATTTACCTTTTCAGATCTTGTTCTCTGTTTGTATTATAGTATGCAATGTCTGTATCATCTGATTTCTGAAATTTAAAAAAAAAATTATTTAGAAAATATAAATTGTGTACTGTTGTTACAGTTACAGAGAATAAGAATGGGAAACGTCTATGTTCATCAACAGGCTGTCATAATAGTTTACTTAATCTTTCTAATCATCTTGGGCCAGACATTATCATCTTTATTTTATAAACAAAGCACCCAGAGCTTACAGAGTCTGGCATCTTTCTGATCCAGTGGAAGTAGGTGGCACTATCATGATCCAAAATACATCTGTCTGACTCAATTCCACTGTCCCATATATGTACTCTGAGGATCCAGACACAAAAAGATAAAGGAGACATAAAGAATATGTATAAAGGAGTCTAATATAACTAAATGTCAAAGTAGAATACAGTCAGTATATGCTAAGATTTCAAAACATTCATCACAAAAACGTGAGTATCTCTCGTAAGAAAAGATAAGCCGAACACATATGAAAGATTGAAAGCAGTAAGTGGTAAGAATTCAGCAGAAAAAAATAAATTAACTGAGCTAGAGTAAGAGTGCTTTTGTCATAGAGCAAAGAGAGGGAAAAAGGGCAGTGAGGAGAGGATAAATTAAATAGATAAGATTAGACCAAATTTAATTTGGCAGAGGACAAATAAGAAGATTGGGGGCTGGTAGTATGTATACTCAGCATGTGTAAGGCCTTGGGTCTAATCCCCTGCACTAGAAGACTGATATAAAAACAATAAACTGCCAACAAAGTCTCCTAGTAATGGGGTATATAGAGCCCAAACTGGCCCTCTTCTCTAACCAGGCAGGCTCCTAGCAGTGGGACTGGGAGGTCTATCCAGCTACATCCAGCTACAAAACCTTCAGCCTACAATCTGTCCTGCCTGTGAGATGTGCTAGGGCAACGGTGTTATAGAACTTATGGGAGTGGTCAACACATGACTGGTCCAACTTGTCGCCCATATGAGAGCCTACAGCCTATGCCTGGCACTGCCTAGAGGGCCAGGAACCAGAAGCAGGACAGTCCAGAGACCCAGAAAAGAACCAAATACAACAAGCAAAGAAAAAAAAAGTCAATAAAATGATTTCTAAGGATATTCTGCTATACTCATAGAACAGTGCCTAGCCCGACAGTCATTAGAGGAGCATTATTCAGCAACTGATGGGAGCAGATACAGACACCCACAGTCAAACACTAGGTGGAGCCAAGGCAAACCTGCAACAAAAAAGGGGGGGGGACTGAGTCAGAGGGGTAGAGGACATCAGGAGAACAAGGCCCACAGAATCAACTAAGCAGGACTCATAGGAGTTCATAGAAACCGAAGTAACAAACACAGACCCTGTATGGGTCTGAGCTAGATTTTCTGGTTGCGTAGCTAAGTATTCCAGTGGGATTCCCAACAATGTGAGTAGGGTAATATCTCTGATACTTTTGCCTATGCTTGGGACCCTTTTCCTCCAACTGGGTTGCCATGTCCAGCTGTGATATGAGGCTTTGATCTCAGTCTTACTGTATCTTGTTAAGTTATGTTTGATGGATATCTGTAGGAGGCCTATTTTTCTTTATTTTTTAAGGGAAACTGAGGAGGAGTTGATCTTGAGGAGAGGGACTAGGAGGAGTGGAGGAAGAAACTGTAGTGGGGCTGTAATGTATGAGAGAAGAATAAAAGTTAAAAAAAATATCATTTTAATCTTTTGTAACATATCTTTACTCTTTTCTACCTTCCTCTTTCCTTCCTTTCTTTGGAAATGGGAATCTCATTCTATATCCCAGGCTGAACTAGAACTGTATAACCGAGGCTAAACTCAAATTTGCACAAATCCTCCTGGCCCTTAGCTTCCTGAGTGCTGATATTCAAGTGTTACCTAGACTGTGGAGGTGAAGACAAGTGAATTCCGGGAGTTCACTGGCCAAACAGCCTAGTCACATCTGGAAGCTCCCGGTTCAGTGAAATACTGCTTCCAGTATGAGAATGACTAAGGAACACACTCAGTATTGGCTTCTTGCCTCCATGCAACATGTGCACACAACCACATGAACACACACAGACACGTATACCCCGGAGACACAAAATTATACATCCCTACGTATAAAAAAGAAAAAATGTTAAAATACAATTCTGCATACCTAGAACTTTCACTAGACTTTATCCACCACTTTATCGCAATTTCACTGTGACCAGTACTTCATAAGTCACCCATAAATTAGCTTCATGTGTTTAATTGACTGTTATTGTTTTAACCATTAGTGAAAGAACAGACAGAACTCTAGATTTGGCTCTGTTGCAGCATATAATTTTATATTAATGAACAATTTGTTTTTGTGTATCTAAATTTCTTATCTCAATTTCTAAATCTGGGAGTGTAAGCAATGTCTCTGTTTCAATTACTTCAAAAGGAGAATGTAAGTCAAGCCTGGTGGTACATGCCTATAATTTTTGCATTTAAGAAGCAGGAAGAGTGCTAGTTCCAGTGTTCCAAATCTGCCTGATCTATGAGCTACATAATAAGACCTTGTCTCATTAAGTAAATAAACTATAAAAATAAATATGACAGTACATATAAGAAGACAGAAAAACTCTCTAAATTTATTTTTATGTTCCCTAATGCTATGTAATAGGGTCTACCAACATAAGAAATAAAACCTGCTAGGGTGGTGACACACACTTCTAATCCCAGCACTCAGGAGAGGCAGGGTGAGACTGAGGCCAGTCTGGTTTATGTTATCAAGCTCCTGGAGAACCAAGGCTACATAGTAAAAACCTGTTTCAAGAAAGTAAAAACCTGGGGCTGGAGAGATGGCTCAGCAGTTAAGAGCATTGCCTGCTCTTCCAAAGGTCCTGAGTTCAATTCCCAGCAACCACATGGTGGCTCACAGTCATCTGTAATGAGGTCTGGTGTCCTCTTCTGGCCTTCAGGCATACACACAGACAGATTATTGTATACATAATAAATAAATAAATATTAAAAAAAAAAGAAAGCAAAAACCTGCCGGGCAGTGGTGGCACACGCCTTTAATCCCAGAACTCGGGAAGCAAAGGCAGGCGGATCATTGTGAGTTCGAGGCCAACCTGGTCTACAAGAGCTAGTTCCAGGACAGGTTCCAAAGCTACAAAGAACCCTGTCTCAAAAAAAACTAAAAGAAAAAAAAGTAAAAACCTGAAAAATTACTTTTGGCAAATAAAAGGAAAAACAAAACACTGGATGGCTTTCACAAACTAAGCATAACAGAAAAAAGTTACAGAAAAATAGAAGTTTTATATCATAGACCCTCTAACTGTACATTAAAATTTTACTATGTTTGGGCTAGAGAGATGACTCAGTGGTTAAGAGCACTAGTTGCTTTTCCAGAGGTCCTGAGTTCAATTCCCAGCAACCGCAACCACATGGTAATGAGATCTGGTGCCCTCTTTAGTTTCAACTACTTGGAAGAGTAAAGCAGGACTGATTCATCTAATAGTTCAAGGCCAGCCTCAGCAATATAGTCAGAGTCAAATAAAAAAGAAAGAAAAAACAAACAAACAAGCCGGGCGGTGGTGGCACACACCTTTAATCCCAGCACTCAGAGGAGGTAGAGGCAGGAGGGTCTCTGTGAGTTCAAGGCCAACCTGGTCTAAACTGTGAGTTCCAGGACAGACTCCAAAGCTACAAAGAAACCCTGTCTCAAAAATCCAAAAACAAACAAAAAATAATAAAAATTTCAAGATAAATAATATTTATTGAGCTATGGTATTTAAACACTTACCAGTTTTCTCTTCTTGGCTGAAATAAGTTTAATACAGTGTGCTGAACTAGTAGAGCCTGCTGAGATTTCTCCCTCCTTGTCCTAAATGTCATTCAGGAGAAAAAAATATGTACAGAAAGGCACAAAATAAAGCATAATTTATTCACTATTATAAATTGACATTCTCATTAAAAAATGTGCTCTGAGGACATTTAGAGACACAAATTTAGTAGGAAGGGAGCTCAACTAGAGGACTCAAGGAGAAATTAGAAGCTCTGGAGATAATTACTTATCTATAAAATGAAGATAAGAACAGTCAGATAAGAACACTGTGAGACAACATTGTCATAGTGGAATTCAGTCCATAAAATAAAACCAGATGTCCCTCAGTGGATCTTGAGTTCAAAAGGCTGAAGGCTGAAAGCAATGGTGTTTGAAGTATCAATTATGTACCAAAGATGTATCAAACAATGAGGGGAGTTTTTAAATAAATAAATATTGTTCTTGCCTCCACAAAGTTACAATCTAGTACAGAATTTACAAGTAAACAACTAATATGTTTAGAATGTCAGATGATGTAAAGAGAAAATCTCAATACTGAACATCCATGTCCCAAATACAAGGGCACCCACATATATAAAAGAAACACTTCTAAAACTTATATGATACATTAAATCCCACACACTAATAGTGGAAGACTTCAACACCCCACTCTCACCACTGGACAGGTCTGTCAGACAGAAAAATAACAAATAAGGGAACTAAGAGATGTTATGACTCAAATGGACTTAACTGACATCTATAGAACATTCTATTCAAACATAAAAGATATATCTTCTTCTCAGCACCTCAAGGAACCTTCTCAAAAATTGACCACATAGAACCTGAAGAAAATCATGTAGTTATCCTCCTGGAGATTGGAAATAGACAAGAGTCCCAGGTAACCTCGGGTGCATGGGGGGGTGGTTGTTGGAAGGGGAGAGGGTTAGAGAGAAGGGAGTAGGGGAGGAATGGGGAAAGCTCGGGGGACTGGGAGGGGGGGAGGGAGGAAGAGTAGATATGGGATCAGGGAAGAATATATCTCAACTAAGGGAGTCATTTTAGGGTTTACAAGAGACTTGATTATAAATGGGATCCCAGGTCCAAGGAGAGATTCCCCAGATTGTTCTCTGAACAGAGGAGAGGGTGCCTGAACCGGCCTTGGCCTACAACCATACTGATGAATATTTTACTTATCACCATAGAACCTTCATCTGGCGATGGATGGAGATAGAGACAGAGACCCACATTGGAACACTGGACTTAACTCCCTAGGTCCAAACGAGAAGCAGAAGGAAAGAGAATATGAGCAAAGAAGGCAAGACCAGAGGGAACCTTCATCCAACGATGGATGGCGATACAGATGGAGACCCACATTGGAGCACTGGACTGAGCCCCCCAAGGTCCAAATGAGGAGCAGAAGGAGGAAGAACATGAAAAAGAAAATCAGGACCGCGAGGGGTCCGATCACCCACTGATACAAGGGGACTGATCTAATGAGAGTTCACCAAGGCCAGTTGGACTGGGACTGAACAAGCACGTGATCCAACCAGATTCTCTGAATGTGGCCGGATTCTCTGAATGTGGCTGGCCCGGAGTCTTTCTGAAAAGCCATTGACAATGGCACTTGGACTTGTTTCCTCTGCATATACTAGATTTTTGGGATCCAGTCTGTTTGGATACTCACCTTCCTGGACCTGGAGGGAGGGGGGAGGAACTTGAACTTCCCACAGGGCGGGAAACCCTGACTGCTCTTAGGGATGGAGAGGGAGGAGGAGGGGGAGTAGGGGGAGTGGGAGGGTGTTGGGAGGAGGGGCGGAAATGGAAACTTTTATAATTTAATAAATTTCACACAGTTGAAAAAAAAATTGATCACATACTCGGTAACAAAACAAACCTCAACAGATACAAAAAATATGAAATAACCCCATGTATCTTATCAAATCATCATGGCTTAAAATTAGAATTCAACAGGAAAACTAATTCCAGAAAGCCCACTTACCAAAATTAAATCAAGACCAGATAAGCAAATTAAATAGACCTATAACTGTTAAAGAAATAGAAACAGTTATCAAAAGTCTCCCAACCAAAAAAAGCCCAGGACCAGATGGTTTCAGCTCAGAATTCTACAAGACTTTCAAAGAAGAACTAATACCAATACTCCTCAAATTGTTCCACACAATAGAAAGATAAAGAACATTGCCAAACTCTTTTTATGAGGCTACAATTACCCTGATACCCAAACCACATAAAGACTAAGAAAGAGAATTACAGACCAATCTCACTCATGAATATTGATGCAAAAATACTCAATACTGGCAAATGAAATCCAAGAACACATCAAAAAAAAATTATCCACCATGATCAAGCTGGCAACCAGAGATGCAGGTCTGGTTCAACATATAAAAATCTGTCAATGTAATTCACCATATAAACAAACTGAAAAATAAAAACCACATGATCATCTCATTAGATGCTAAAAAGCCTTCAACATACTACAACATCCCTTCATGATAAATGTCTTGGAGAGAGCAGGGATACAAAGTACATAAACAAAATAAAGTCAATATACAGCAAGCCAACAGCTAATATTAAACTAAACAGAGAGAAACTCACAGCAAACACACTGAAATCAGGAACAAGGCAAGGCTGTCCACTCTCTCCATATCTATTAAATATAGTTCTTGAGGTCTCCTAGATAGAGCAATAAGACACCAAAAAGGAGATCAAGGGATACAAATCTGAAAAGAAGTCAAACTCTCGTTATTTGTAGATGATATGATAGTTTACATAAACGACTTCAAAAATTCTACTAAGGAGCTGGGAGGTGGTGGTGCTGGCCTTCAATCCCTCGGGAGGCAGAGGCAGGTGGATCTCTGTGAGTTCCTGGTCTACAGAGCTAATTCCAAGACAGGCTCCAAAGCTAGAGAGAAACCCTGTCTTGAAAAACAAACAAACAAAAAAACCAAAAACAAAAAAATTTCTACCAAGGAACTTCTACAGCTCATAAACACTTTCAGTAATGTAGTAGGATACAAGATTAACTCAAAAAAATCAGTAGCCTTCCTGTACACAGATGATAAGTGGGCTAAGAAAGAAATCAGAGAAACATCACCCTTCACAACAGCTACAAATAGCAAAAAATATCTCAGAGTAACTCTAACCAAACAAATGGGAGACCTGTATGACAAGAACTTTAAATCTTTGAAGAAATAAATTGAAGACACCAGAAAATGGAAAGATCTTGCACATTCATGGGTAGATAGAATTAACATAGTAAAAATGGCAATCTTACCAAAAGCAACCTATAGATTCAATGCAATGTCCAGCAAAATCCCAGCAAAATTCTTCACAGACCTCAAAAGAATATTCAACTAACTTCTTAAGGAAAAGCAAAAAACCCAGGATAACCAAAACAATCCTGTACAATAAAGGAACTTCTAGAGGCATCACAATCCCTGACTTCAAACTCTACTACAGAGCTAAAGTACTGAAAACAGTTTGGTATTGGCATAAAAATAGACAGGAGGGCCAAGGGAACTGAATAGAAGACCCATATATTAATACACATACCTAAGAACAGCTGATTTTTGACAAAGAAGCAAAAAATATCAATGCTGGCATAACTGGATATCAACACGTAGAAGAATGAAAATAGATCCATATCTATCACCATCCACAAAACTCATCCAAATGGATAAAAGACCTCAACATAAAGCCTCATATTAAACCTCATAGAAGAGAAAGTGTGAAGTACACTTGAACACACTGGCACAGGAGACCACTTCCTAAATATAACTCCAGTAGTATAGACACTGAGAGAAACAATTAATAAATGGGACCTCCTGAAACTGAAAAGCTTCTGTAAAGCAAAGGACATGGTCAACAAGACAAAACAGCAGCCTACAGAATGGGAAAAGATCTTCACTAATCCCACATCAGACAGAGGTCTGATCTAAAATATACAAAGAACTCAAGAAATTGGTAATCAAAAGAACACATAATCCAATTAAAAAAATGGAGTACAGACCTAAACAGAGAACTCTCAACAGAGTTGAGAACTCTAAAATGGCTGAAAGACACTTAAGGAAATGTTCAACATCCTTAGTCATCAGAGAAATGCAAATCAAAACAACTCTGAGATTCCATCTTACACCTGTAAGAACGGCCAACATCAAAAATACTGATGACAACTTATGTTGGAGAGGATGTGGGGTAAAGGGAACACTTCTCCATTGCTGGTGAGAGTGCAAACTGGTACAGCCCCTTTGGATATCAGTATGGCGATTTCTCAGAAAATTAGGAAACAACCTTCTCAAGACCCAGCAATAACACTTTTGGGTATGAACCCAAAGGATACTCAATTGTACCAAAAGGAAATGTGCTCAACTATGTTCACAGCAGCACTGTTTGTCATAGCCAGAACCTGGAAACAACCTAAATGCCCCTCGACCAAAGAATGGATATGGGAAATGTGGTACATTTATACAAGGGAGCACTACGTAGCAGAAAAAAAATAATGACAGCTTGAAATTTGCAGGCAAATGGAAGGATCTAGAAAATATCATATTGAGTGAGGTAACCCAGACCCAGAAAGAAAAACATCATATGTATTCACTCAGAAGTGGCTTTTAGACATAAAGTCAAGAAAACCAGCCTACAATTCACAATCTCAGAGAACCTAGACAACAATGAGGACCCTAAGAAAGACATACGTTGATCTAATCTACATGGAAAGTAGAAAATGACAAGATCTCCTGAGTAAACTGGGAGTATGGGGACCATGGGAAAGGGTTGAAGGGGAGGGAAGAGGTGGGTAGGAAAGAAGAGAAAAATGTATAGTTCAATAAAATCAATAAAAAAAGAGTGTCAGGATGCTTTGGATGAAATAAAACAGAAAGAAGGTGGACAAGAAAACTGAACTGGTATAAGTAGGAAGATCTCCAATTTTTAAATGTGTTCATAAAAGGTTCCATTGATAAACTGACAGCTGAATAGAGACCTAATTAAAGAAACAAGGGCTGGGTATGCAGCATGCATAAGGCCCTGTGTTTAATCTTCAGCACTATATATACCATGCACAGTGGCACACATATGCAATCCAACTACTCAGGAGTTGGAAACAGGATGACCAGATACTCAGGGTAATTCCTAGTCCCCCAGAATTTGAGGCCAGCCTGGATACTTAAGACCCTATCTAAAATAAAAAGAAACATGGCTGGAGAGATGGCTCAGAGGTTCAGAATATATACTGCTCTTACAGTGGACTCATTTGGTTCCAGACACCCACGTCAGGCAATTCACACCTGCAAATAACTTAGGCTTAGGGGATCTGAAGCCCTCTTCTGAATTCCTCAGCACCTGCATGCACATGTTCAGATATACACATAGGTACACACTTACATTATTTCAAAAGTAAGATCATTTTTAAAAATGAAACAGTGTATTTTCAATTTAAAGGGAACGACTGACTGACAAGTGAGAAACCTCAGAGACAGAAATGCTCCTAAGAGGCTGGAACAAAGAAAGTAATGTTAAGATGAAATGGGGAGAGTGAATGGCCTTCCCAGTCCCAACAAGAGGATGTCAACATGGAAAACCCCAAGAAAGTACAGAGCAGAGAAGTGACACAATCTGACTTACAGTGTAATAGGACCACATTCGTCACTGTGTTAAGAATAAATCACGAGGGAGGCAAAGGCAGAGACGGGGAAGGATCTAGAAATCAATGGAATAACTAAGGAAAACAAGTTCTTTGCTTAGATCATGGTAACACCAAGGGGGAAGTAGTGAGACTCTGAATATGTTAAAAAGAGAAGCAAATAGAAATCACTTATAGACTGGCTGCAGGTACAGGCTAACTACTAAGTTTCAGCATAAACTGAAAAAATGGAACTGTAGTTTATTAAATTAGAAAAAGTGAGCTTAGGTACTTGAAAGGTTATAACTTAAGAAAATGAGTAAGAAAGCTGGGTGTAGTGGCATACTCCTTTAATCAGAAGCAGAAACAGGTAGATCTCTTGGGGTTCAAGGTCAGTCTGATATACAGAGTAAGTTCCAGGACTGCCAGGGTAGTAAGTAGAGACATCTTGTCTCAAAAAACTACAAAGAGAAGAGCAAGGGAGGAGAGGGGGAGGGAAAGGGGGGATGTGGGGGGAGGTGAGGGGAAGGTGG